GCAGGCCCAGGCCGCTCCTCACGGTTCCCTCCCGGGTCCAGGTGAGCGCTCTGCACGCCACGTCCGCGGACGTCCGGCCCCAGGTACCAGTCTCGTCTTTCCCGTCTGTGTTTCTGCGCGCACCGCCTCGGGGTCTTGCGTCAAGCCGCCAACTCTCGGCCGGGGCCTCCGAGCTGAGGTCATCCTGGAGTCCACGCGCCTCTCCAAGCACGCGGTCCTTGCCAGGACGTCTCTCCCAGGGCCTCTGCTGTTTGCCCCGGTCACTCTCTTCTTCGAGGCCACTTCCCACATGGCTCATTCCTCCTCGCGCTGAGGCTTTCCCTGGCGCGCAGACGTGCAGCGGGGGCCACAGAGGCTCTGCAGAGCGCAGTGACCAGCCGGCGGCGGCCTCCAGCACGCCCAGCTCAGGTGGATGCACGGCCAGGACACCCCCTCCTTAGCCCGGGCCTTTCTCGTCCCTGAGGGACAGACCCCTGGGCGGGCTGCTGCAGGGCTGGGGCGGGGCTCGGTGCTGTCCATATGGGCGCCCACAGGCTCAGGCGGCTCTCCAGGCCCCTCCACCTCCATCGCTCCCCAAGAGCTCACCGTCCGCCCCTCTGGCTCCCAAAGCAGGCCTCCCCGAGAGGGGCCCTCCCTGAAGCAGCTTCTGCAACAGCACGATGTTTGTTTGTTTGTTTGTTTGTGGGACCCTCGCCGGCGGCCGGGAACGAACCCGGGCTGCAGAGGTGAGGCTGCGGGCAGCCTCGAAGCCCAGCACTCAGCCGCTGCGCCACCAGGGGAGGCCCAACAACACGACTTTCAGCAAAGAAAACAGATTCCATTCCAGCCGGGAACCCTCCCCTCAGGGTGCCGGGGGCCTGGATGCAGTTTCTGACAGCCCCCCCCACCCCCCCCACCCCCACCCCCCACCCCCACACACACAGCCAGGCCAGGTGCCTGGAGACAGCGGCAGATCCAGGAGGAGCCCCAGGGCCTGGAGCCCCAGGGTAAGCCCAGGGTAAGCAGACCCTGGGCCAGGAGAAGCCTCCCTTGCCTGTGGAAGGGTCTGCAAGGGGGGGGGGGGTCGCCCCCACACTCCTACTTCAAAACAGCTCCCAGGCCCCCAAAAACACATCCGGCCCAAGACTGTTAAAAGATCCGCGCGTGTTTCAAAGGCCTGTGGCGCCGGCTCTGGAGTGGGGGCCGCTTTGACGTACGTAGTCCTCCTACAGATCAGCCCCCAGCTCCTAGCGAGCTCGTGAGCAGCTCCTGGGGTGGGGGCACCGCCGGTGACGCCCCCCTTCCTAGCAGGCAGCAAAATGCAGCCGTTGCCATGGCGGCAGGCGCTGCGGGCTCTGGTGCGCGTGGGGCTCCCTCCCTGGCTGGGCTTGCGCCCCTGCGCCGGACGGGGCAGCTCCGCACCCACACACCGTGCACGTGGAAAGAGGGTCCGGCACCAGGGACCCTGCGCCCCCAGCCGGTGCAGGGGCCACGTGCCGCCTCCCCGACCCTCGTGGAGGACCCTGGGTGCACCCGCTAGATGGGTGCGGAGGGTCGGGCTGCACCGGGTTTTGCTGTCTCAGTAGCTCACCCAGCAGGTGCGCGGGTAAGAGGCGGTGACCCCAGAGGGAGCGCGTGGGGGGGGGGCGGGGAAGGGGGTGTGGTGGGGGGATGCCTGACTCCGTTCGTGGGGCCTGGGGTGGCCTGTGTCCCCACCTCCGACCCCGAGCTGGCCTGCTCAGAATTAGCCCCAAGAGAGGCAGTGACGGGGCGCAGGGGAAGCCGGGGACAGGCGCATACTCCAGCGGCCCCTTGGGGACACACCGGCCCCTCGCCCAGCCCCCTCTGCCCCCACCCCCCGAGCATCACGGACTTCAGATGCCCTGAAAGTTGGGGTGTGTGTGTGAGCCCAGCGGTCAGAGGTCAGCAGGTGCCCCTCGCAAAGCCAGGCAGAGGCTGCAGAGCTGGCCCCACAGGGCAGACGATCGTCCCCATGCTCCCAGCACCCACCCCCAGGGCGGACCCCAACCACCGACACTCACGCCCTGGTTTCCAAGCCGCTCTGGGAGAATCCACTCGAGTCCAAACACTCTCTCACCTCCCGGCCTTGGGCACGAGGACGTCACGGCGCCGCGCACTGGCCGTGTCCCGGGGGGGACGGCTCGCATGGAAGCTGACGGGAGGGTGCCCAGCCTTCTGGCGCGGGGGCGGGGGTCCCCCCAGGCGCCTGCAGCTGTCCCAGGGTCCAGGGCCAGTGGGCCATCCCGCTGCTCCCTTAGGCTGACCCCTCCGGCTGCCGGGAGGCTGGGGAGACGGCCGGTGCCACTGTCAGCCCCAACTCCAAACTCAGGCCCCGGGCGCCCCCCAGCCGTCCTGCACACGCCCCCTCCCCTCCCCTCGGTCGGACACCAGTTCCCGTGGCTCTGCCAGCCCCGCTCAGCATGTCCCTGGCAGCCCCGCCAAACCCCGGGTCTCTGTGGGCGCGGGGCACACCCCCATGCTCGGGTGTCTCTGTGCCTGCTGTGCCCTGCTCTCGGGGCGCGGAGCCTCCCCACGCTGGCCCTGCCCTTGGCCTATGGAACAAGGCACCTCAGGACGGAGGGAGCCGCCCCGTGAGGCCCCGGCCCTCGCTCTGGAGTGGCTGGAGCAGAAGGGAGAAGTCAGGGGCTTGCTGCAGCCGCGCCCAGGCCAGGGGGCGCTCAGAGGCCGGCCCTGGCTCCCCCACCCCCGCTGGGACAGGAAGAGGGAACTCAAGACATCTAGGGTCACTCCCGTCCTCTCGGTGCAGATGACTAGGGTTTCACCTCCGGACTGTAACCTCCGTATCCATCAAACTGCATTTTTTTTTTAAGATTTATTTATCGGGCCTCCCTGGTGGCTCAGGGTTTAAGGACAGCGCTGTCAAGCTGCCCGCAGCCTCTGCAGCACGAGTCTGACCCCCAGCCGGCCAGGGAGCTGCCCACAGGGCGCAGCAGACCTCTCCCGGCTCCCCGCGGCTCCCCTCAGCAGTGGACTTCGGTCAGTCTGCCTGTTCTGCTCCCCGCTCTGTCTCCGGTAAATCCTCTCACCCCCCGCACCTCTGGCCTGCACCCCAGCTCTTGTGTGCATAAATAAATAAATCTTTTTTAAAAACAGTCAAGAAGACGACATAGCAAGAGAAAGTCACTGCAGAAGTCGCCCCTTAATTTCCTATGTAGGCTTCATTTTTATGCACCCGTCACATTTCTAATCCTGAGGAGCGGCTGCTTCCCAGCCAGAGTGAAGGCGTCGCCCCCGCGGTGGCGCCCAGGCCCCTGGGGGGGAGGGGGAGGGGGGGCACCAGAAGGAGGGATAGGGGTGAGGCTCCAGGCCAGGCCTCCATTTCCAGAAGCGCGGTGACTCCAGCGTGTCGTTCCCCGTCTTAGGGGAGGCAGAAGCCAGTGTTTCTCGCAGACGGGTCCCGCGAGCCAAGGCCCTCGGCGCCACACCACAGGCCGGGGCCGCGCCACAGAGCCCGACGCAGCGGACCCCGGCGCGCGCCTCCCCTCTGCAGGCAGAGCCAAGGGCCGGCCCGGCCTCCGCGGAGCCCAGAGGGTCTTGACCCCAGGTCTGCTCTTGCTGGTCAGTTCTAGACGCAGGGGACCCCCCATATCCCCAACTCTTCTGCTCCTGGAGGAGGGAGACCGCGGCCCCGGGTGGAAAGAGGTGGGACCCCACAAGCAGGCCTCTGGCCAGCACGCAGAACCCCTCCCCGGGCCTGGGCGCCCCGTCTGCGTGGCAGGGTCGCTGTCCCGTGGCCCAGACTTGCCCGGAGTGGACACCTGTGGGCTCCACGGCTGCTGCGGCCTCCGGGCTGCCCCCAGCGCGGCGCCTCCCCCAGCAGCCCCGCACCCGGCCGGGGTGGTGGTGAGGACGCCCCCCCTGCAGCCCCACGCGGCTTGGCAAAGCCGGTCCCCTCCTAGCTCCTCCCGGGGCCCGTCCACATCACCCCTCAGCTTCCCCGTCGGTGCTGCGCGCGGAGGGAGGGCCGCGAGGGGAGCAGGCGGAGCCGGCCCTGCAGGCTGCGAGGGTCAGAGGCGGCTGGGAGCCGCCCTCTGCCCTCGGGGGCTCAGCCCTGGGCCTCCTCTGTGCTCGCTACCTGTGAACCCCGCCGCTGCCCTGGAGCCCCCAGCCCGGGCCAGCAGCGAGCCCCTGCGCCAGGCCTGCCCCTGGGCAGCGCCAGTTCCCGCACAGCGGGAGCCTCTGCCCGTCGCAGCGGGGAGGCCGGTGTGGACCGCGGCGCGCCCGCCCTCCCGCCCGAGGCGCGCCCCCCCGCGCCCCCCTGCGCCCCGGCCCGCGCGCCCGGGAGCGGTGGCGTGACGTCCGCGGGCCGGCGTGGAGCCGCGTGGGCGCGCGGAGCTAAAAATACGCGCGGGCGCCCGTCACTGGGGGTCACTGCGCCAGCGCCGCTGCCGGCCCCGGCCGCGCCTTCGCCCTGGGGTGTGTGCGGGGCCCCCCGCCAGCGGGCGCCCCCCGCCCCCCCCCCCGCGCGCTCCGGGCCGGGCCTCGGGTCGCCGTGGAAACGCGGCCCCGCGAGCGCGCGGGGAGCCCCGCAGGGCCCGGGCCGGCCGCCCCGTCCGCGCGGGAGCCGGGACGCGAGCGGCCCCGCGGGCGCGGGGGGGGGGCGGGCGGCGGCGCGGGGGCCGCGCGCGTGTCGGGGGGCGGCGCCGGGTGCGCTCGCGGGCTGCGTGCGCGTGTCCCGTCCGCGCCGCCGAGCGGGCTCCCCGGGGCCGCGTCACCTGACTCCCCGGCCCTCGCGGGGCGCAGCGGGCCCCCAGGTTGCCCGGCGCCGGCAGGTCGGCGGCGACTCCGGCCCCTCCGCGCCCCGAGCTCGCGGGGCCGGCGCGCGGGGCGCACGGGGATCCGGGGCGCACGGGGACCCGGGGCGCGCGGCTCCGCGCCAGACCCGGCGGGCGCCCGAGGGGGGCGCGGGCGGCGGGCGCGGCGCGCCGAGGGCCGCGGCGCGCGGGGACGATGTGAGGCCGGCGCGGCCCGCGGGCACCATGCAGAAGGGCATCCGGCTCAACGACGGCCACGTCGCGTCCCTGGGGCTGCTGGCGCGCAAGGACGGCACGCGCAGGGGCTACCTGAGCAAGCGCAGCTCGGACAACACAAAATGGCAAACCAAGTGGTTCGCGCTGCTGCAGAACCTGCTCTTCTACTTCGAGAGCGACTCGAGCTCGCGGCCCTCCGGCCTCTACCTGCTGGAGGGCTGCGCCTGCGACCGCGCGCCCTCGCCCAAGCCGGCGCCCTCCGCCAGGGAGCCGCTGGAGAAGCAGGTGAGGCCGCGCCCGCGGCGCTCGGGGCTCGGGGCTCGGACTCGGCTCGGGCGCGCGGCGGGCCGGCCACCCCGCGGCGGGAGGCGGCGCAGGGACTGCGGGGGTGCGGGGGGTGCGGGGGGCGTGCGGGGGCGCGGGGGGCAGGCTGCGGCCGCCCTTCACCCCCGGCGCGGCGGGAGGGCTGAGCCCAGGGCCGGCGGGGAGAGGAGAGGGGTCTGGGGCGCACGCGCCGCGGACGCGGACCCTCCTCAGGCCCCCTCCCCCCGCAGCCCGCCTGGCCCTCGCCGCGCCGGCCTGGGCTGGTCCCCCCCGCGCTCGCGGAGCAGGGGCGCCCGCGCAGCCTGGCCCCGCGCCGGGAGCCCAGAGAGCCTGCGCGGCTCCGGCTCCGCCGAGGTGGGGGTGGGAGCCGCAGGGGCGGTTCGGTGGCATCCCTGGAGGTGGGACCCAGCCTGCTCCAGGCCCAGAGCCGCGAGGCGAGGGCGAGGGCGAGGGCCCCCTCCGGCTGCCCGCGGCGGGGCCGGGCTGCGGCAGAGGCCGGGACAGGCGGCGCTCGCCTCCCCCGCGCGCCTCCGCCCGCGCGCCGCAGTCCCCGCGCGAGGATGCGCCCGGCCCCGGCCTGTGCCGCGCCAGCAGGGGTGCCCGCCAGCAGGGGTGCCCGCCAGCAGGGGTGCGACTGTCCCTCCGCGCTGGGGGGAGGGGCGCCTGCGGCAGGGAGCCGAGGGCCGGCTTGGGGACGGCTTGGGGAGCCTCCTCACACGTGCCCCGGATGCCCTGCAGCCGGGAGGGGAAGCCCCAGGCCGGAGAGGCCAGGACACCCCGGTAGGGCCCAGGGTCCTGTGAGAGGCTAGGATGCCCCAGGGTAGGGCCCAAGGTCCAGGGGCCCAGACGAGGCCCCTTGGCTGTCACCCAGAGCCGAGGCCACCCCACGGTGCCGGGGAGACCCCTGCGCCCTGAAACCTCTGCTGCTGGGGCGGGCAGGGAGTGGGGCCCCGGACACCCCCGTATGCTGGGACACGGTTTGGGGGCTGGTACGTGCGGAACGGTGGGGGGGGGGTGCTCCTTGGGGTGACCAAGCACAGGCTCGCCCAAATCACAGGTGACCGTGCGGCCCCTGGCACTCGGGGCGCGGGCTCACGGACAGGCCAGAGGGCCTGGCCCCTGCAGGAGCTGCTGCCCTGGGCCAGGGCACTGCTCGCCCCCCTGTGCCCTCCACGTGCCCGCTGAGCTCCTGGGCAGGGGAGGGGGCCGCCTGGGCGCCAGCACTCGGACTCTCGGGCCCCACGTGGCCCTGGGTGTGAGGTGGAGGAGACAGGCCTGGGCCTCGGCCCTGCCATGTCCTCTCCTGAGGGCTCCATGGCAGAGCAGCGCTGGCCTCTGCACCCTGGAGGGGACACGCATGCCGGCCCGGGGGTGCTCCTGGGGTTCAGCAGTCTGGGCGGTAGCTGCTGGGCAGAGGACAGGGGATGCCCAACCTCGTGACAGCCCCAGGCCCGCACCCCCGGCTCTTCTAGAGGCCAGAGAGGGGGTCACCCCATCCCCGAGGGCCAGGGGGCCGGGCCCAAGCCACTCCCAGGAAGGAGCCCTCAGCTCAGGTAGGAACCTGGGCACGGGGTTGGCGCCCCTCTGCCCAGGAGGGGCTGCTCCAAATCTCTGGCTTAGTCTCCCCGGGGCCTGCCCAGGGCCTACAGGAGCACCCGCAGCCTGCGCGTGCCCCCAGCGCTGCCTTGCTCCCCCACCCGACCGCGCTCGCGGGGTCAGACCTCCTGGGCGCGTGTCCCCGCGCAGCCGTGGTGTCCCCACGCAGCGCGTGCCTGGCTGGCTGGCTGTGACCCGCGTGCTCCCCACAGCACTACTTCACCGTCACCTTCAGCCACGAGAACCAGAGGGCGCTGGAGCTGCGGACGGAGGATGCCAAGGACTGCGACGAGTGGGTGGCGGCCATCGCCCACGCCAGGTAGGCCCCGGCCCGGCCAGGCAGCTCCCCAGAACCCAAGGGCCCAGAGTGGGGGCTGGGCCCAGCCTCCCCCGCTCTGCCCTCCACCCGGGCCGTCCCCAGGACCCACGCACAAGCGAGGCCAGGCGGCTTGGGCTCCGCGGCGCTGTCCAGGGGCAGCCCTGAGCGGCCCTGCCGGCTGCGGCCCAGGCGTGTCTTCTGTCTCAGGGCAGACCGGTTGGCGCCGGTTGTCCCTCTGGAGCTCCGGACACCGGGCCCATGTGCTGGACATGGGTGCTCTGGGGTGCCAGGAAGAAGCAGGAGGACCGGGCGGTGTACGGGATGTAGAGGCAGAGACCTTGCTCCGCTGCCCTGGCTGGACACACCAGTCGTAGGTGGCCAAGGACCCGGTGGGACGCTGCCTGGCCTCGGCTGCACTGTGGGTGGACGTGGTGGGCGTGTGGGAGGGACACTGAGTGGGGGACCCAGAACCAGGAGAGCAGGCCCACAGCGCCGTCTGAGGACCAAGCAGCGAGGGGCTGTCGGTGTAGGGCCCATGGGCCCCCATGGGGCCAACCGGATGGTCTCGGGGGCCTGGGGTGGTTGGACACCCCGGCCCTGGCGCGTGGGCCACCAGCACAGCCAGGGCAGGCGGGGGAAGGAAGAGGCAGACAGAGGAGCCGCCCCGGGGCCGACGGGGCGGGAGGGCCAGACCGGGCATCTCACCCGCGTCCACGCTGTCCGCAGCTACCGGACACTGGCCACGGAGCACGAGGCGCTGATGCAGAAGTACCTGCACCTGCTGCAGATCGTGGAGACGGAGAAGACGGTGGCCAAGCAGCTGCGGCGGCAGATCGAGGACGGGGAGGTGGAGATCGAGCGGCTGAAGGCAGAGGTGCGGCGGGCAGGGACATGCGCACGCGGCCCCGGGGACCCCGACGCACTGGGGCGGCTCCGAGAGCCCAGGGCCCGTCCCCAGCCCGGCGTGATGCCTGCGCACAGGGGACGGGGGGAGGGCCTGGCCGGGCTGGCCACCCGCCTCAGGCCCCATGGGCGCTGCTCTGGAGCAGGACGGGCCTCTCTGTCCACGACCAGCGCGGGGTCCAGGCCAGGGGTCCCTGCCCCAGGTCGTGTGCTGCGGTGGTCAGGGTGGTTAGGGCGGTCAGGGCAGACGGGGTGGACGGGCCACAGGCAGGAACCTGCTTGGGCACTGGCTGCCCACGACTTCCCTGGGGAATGGGTGTGTTCGAAAAACGAGGGACTCCCCGAGTGTCCACGTGCAGGTGTGGCCTCTGCACACAGTGGGCCTCAAGGGGAGACTCCAGGCTGTGGTGCCCGGGGGGACACGGAGAAGCAGCCGGACACAGGCCCCAAGGAGGCCTCTGAGCCAGCAAGTCCGCGGTCACCAGGCGCCAGGATGGGTGGGGCGGGGCAGGGCAGGGCAGGGCGCTTGCGGGAAGCTTGCTGGGGACTAAGCGCTCTGGGTGGGCGGTGGGAGAGGCCCAGGCCGGGCCCACATCCTCGGTCTGCGCCATGGACAGGGCGGATCATGGTGCTCACGTCACCACCTCAGTGTCCAGAGCCAGGCCGGCTGCTGCTCAGGGAGCAGGGGCCATCTCAGATTCAGGCTGCAGGAGCACAGGTGGGCACCTGCAGCCAGGGGACACCCAGGAGCCAGCCCAGCTGCCCAGCCTGGGGGTCCCGGCCCAAGCTGGCACCACCATCTGGCACAGAGGGGCCTGGGCACTGGCCACGCTGCACGCTGACCACACTGCGTGCTGATCCACCACGGCGGCCAGCCTCCGGGCCTGCGCTGACCTGCGCTTGCGTTGCAGATCGCGGCCCTGCTCAGGGACAATGAACGCGTCCAGTCCACCCAGATCGTCACCCCCAACGATGAAGACAGTGATCTCAAGAAGATTAAGAAGGTCTGTGGCGCCCCCCTGAGAGCCTCTGGCCCCACGGCCGGGCCAGGCCAGTCCCCGCGAGTCCCCTCGTGCAGACACCCTGTGGCGCCCCACTCGGCTGTGGGCCTCAGCAAGGAAGACTGGTCCCGGCTGAGGCCCCGCCGGCTCTGGCCTGTTGGGTGCCGAGGGGCAGATGTCCCAGAGGTCCCAGGCCTGCTCAGGGCTCTGTGGGTGTGCGCGGGCAGCTGGCGAGACACAGGGCGGCGGCCACCTCGGGTGACAGGTGGCCACTCCAAGCAGAGGCCAGCCTGGCCCAGCCCGGCCCCCTGCCAGTGTGGGCTCAGCCCTGTGGGGCATGTCCAGGCCTCCCCAGCCCCTGCCCACGTGCGCCCCTGCCCCGCAGGCCACCTAGAGACCAGGCAACGGGGTCTGCTGCCCTGGAGCCCAGGGACACCCCACAAACAGCTACCTGATTCGCTGCACCCCGCCCACGTGGCACTCGCTCTCCATCCAGACGGGCTCTGAGCAAGACTCGTGGCCCCAGGCGGGGGACGGGGGTGGAGCTGGCCACCCGGCCTGGCCGTCTACACCACTGCCTCGTGGGAGGCCCCAGGAACCGCTCCATGGCCCGGCTACCAGGCAGCAGAGGGCGGCCGGGAGGCTGCGTTCCCGGCGGGCCTGGCCAGGGTGGCCAGCCGTGCCCTCCCGACGCGCCTACCCGGACAGCCGAACCCTTCACCTGTGGCGCAGGCCTTTGACCCCGCCCTCTGACCCGCCCTCCGACCCCGCCCCGCCCTGCTCCCGCAGGTGCAGAGCTTCCTGCGGGGCTGGCTGTGCCGCCGCAAGTGGAAGAGCATCATCCAGGACTACATCCGCTCGCCGCACGCCGACAGCATGCGCAAGCGCAACCAGGTGGTGTTCAGCATGCTGGAGGCCGAGGCCGAGTACGTGCAGCAGCTGCACATCCTGGTCAACAACTTCCTGCGGCCGCTGCGCATGGCCGCCAGCTCCAAGAAGCCGCCCATCACCCACGACGACGTCAGCAGCATCTTCCTGAACAGGTGCGCGGCGGGGGCGGGAGGCCACAGGGCGGAGCCCCCAGGGTCTGGGCCACACCCCACCACGTTTGCTTGAGCCGTGGGTGCCCACCCGGGACTCAGCTGGGGCGGCGGCACCCCCGCATCCGGCAGCGCCCGGGGATACCCCTGGCCGTGGGGGTGTCCCGGCCTGGGGGTGTGGGCAGCGAGGCTGACCACCACAGCCGGTGACCCGCTCCACCCGGTGGCGGCAGCACCGAGAACCCGGCTCAGAGGGCGGAGACATCCGCTTCCGGAGGGGAACGTGTCCCCTCTCTGCCAGCCTTGCCCGCCAGGTGGACGGACCCGAGGCCCTGCGGCCACCCCACAGGCCTGGCAAAGCAGGCGCCCAGGCCGAGAGGGACCAGCCAGCACCCCGTGTGGCTGGGGAGCAGAGTCGGGCCGGGGAGGGAGGATGCAGGTCACGAGGCGGTGGGCTCAGCCGGGCCGGTGCCTCCCACGGGCGCTCCCTCTGCACACGTGGACAGGGGACACGGCCGCACCCGGGGGCGCCCAAACCCCGCAGTGCGAGGAGCAGCGGGAGCACCAGGGGCAGCTCCCCAAGCCCTCCTGTACCCCTCACCCTGGGAGGCGCGGCCCAGGGGCCTGGGGGCAGTGGGCAGGGGTGGCCGCCTGGGGAGCGCACCCCTCGTGTGCACTGGGAATGTGCGGGGGGCGAATAGACTTGGGGGTTTCCGTGCTTTTCCCAGTAACGCACGCAGAGGCTGGGGGAGGGCTCTGCACCGCCTCTGAGGTCCCCGCCGGCCCTCCCAGCTCACCCCAGCTGCAGCTGTCCCTCGGTGTCCCCCCAGCCCTGCCCTGCGTCCCGGGGGCAGCCCGGGGAGGGGGGGCGCGGTCCCTGGGCTGGGGAGCTCTGCCCGCCCCGTCTGTCTGAGGGTCTCTTTCAGGACAGGGCCCAAGCTCGGCCCCGGTGGTCCACAGACAGCCTCGCTCTGGAAGGGGGTCTGGGGGCGTGGCGGAGGGCAGCCCCCCCTCACCCGCGCTTTCTCCTCCAGCGAGACCATCATGTTCCTGCACCAGATCTTCTACCAGGGCCTGAAGGCACGCATCTCCAGCTGGCCCACGCTGGTGCTGGGTGAGTGCGTGCCAGCTCTGCCAGCCCCGCGCCCGCGCCCGCAGACCCGGCGAGGGGAGGGCTGGGACACGCAGCGAAGCTGTGCCGCGGGGGGAGGTGGCGTATTTTTAGCTTCTTACCCACTTTACGGAAAACACCTGTGCCCGCACTCGAGCACATCTGGAAAGCCAGGAAAATAGAAAACGTTTCCAGTACCCACCACGCTCCGCGCCCAGGAGTCGCTGGAAACGCCGCGGGGCTTCCTCCCGGCTTACCCTGGGCACGGACTCGGGGTTCCCTCGCGTACACCCCCCAAACACACGCACAGACCCGCCTTTCTCCCCGCCTGCCCCCACCGTGTGCCCAGCCCCCCCACCCGGCCCCCCATTGGTTCCCTTGGCCGAGGTGCCAAAGGCCGGTTCCTGGCAAATGGGCCAGAGGACTCCTGCGCCCGCCTCGCCCCGCGGCCCCCCAGCCCGCCCGCGCCCTGGCCGGGTCTGCGCCCGCCACCGCCACTTCCCCGGGAAAGCCGAGAGCGGGCGCGGGGGCAGGCCTGGGGCAGGCACACGCGCCTCTGGGGGGGAGCGGCGAGGTCGGGTGGTGCTGACCCCTGGGGCGGCACGAAAAGTGCGCCCCCTTGTGAAAATGGGGTTGTATGCAGGGGTGCCAGTGCACCGCTGAGCTGAGGCGCCTGGGCGCGGCAGATCGGCGGGGGCGGCAGGCGGTGGGAGATGGGGGCATCCCTAACGCCGGTGGTGACCTGTCCGAGGGGCCTTCTGGGAGGGGGGCTTCTTGGGGAGCCTCCTTCAAGCCGTGGGGAGCCAGGCGAGGGGCGGTGCAGCCTCAGAGGCCTTGGCAGGGCGGGGAGCAGAGCGCCCTGCAAGGTGACCTGAGGCCGGCGGCTTCACCCCATCTGGACGCCCCCACCAGGGCGGGCCCCCGCTGCACCCCCTCGGAGTCCCAGGCAGAGGTGCGGGCGGAGTCCTCGGCCGGGCTGGCGGGGGCCCGCCCGGCGGCGCCTGCGCTGACCCCGGCCTCCCTCCAGCTGACCTGTTCGACATCCTGCTGCCCATGCTCAACATCTACCAGGAGTTCGTGCGCAACCACCAGTACAGCCTGCAGATCCTGGCGCACTGCAAGCAGAACCGCGACTTCGACAAGCTGCTGAAGCACTACGAGGCCAAGCCCGACTGCGAGGAGCGCACGCTGGAGACCTTCCTCACCTACCCCATGTTCCAGGTGCGGCGAGGCCGCGCAGGGCTGGGGCGCGGGGGCGGGGGCTGACCACGGCCGCCAGCCCCTAGGGCAGCCGGCTGGGCGGGGCTCCGGGGCGCCACAGGGCCTCCTTCCCAGGCCCGCCGCAGGGCTTGTGCCCAGAGGCCCCCGGCCCCTCCGTCAGCACCCCCATCGCTGCTGCCCCTGTCCCTGTCCTGCTCATCGTCGCCCCGCCCTGCCCCGCTGCCCTGCCTGCTCCCCGCCGGCCCCGCCCTGACGCCCCCACTCTCCTCCGCCCGACCCCCCAGATCCCCAGGTACATCCTCACGCTGCACGAGCTGCTGGCCCACACGCCGCACGAGCACGTGGAGCGGAACAGCCTGGACTACGCCAAGTCCAAGCTGGAGGAGCTGTCCCGGTGAGCAGGGCGGCTCTGCGGGCACGGGGCTCGGGCAGGCTTCCGAGGGTCCCCTGCACCCTTCCCCGCGCGTGGACGGTGTGGGCGCGCGCCGGCGCTGGCCGCCAGGCGGGGCAGGCCCGGGACCCCCTAACCCATCGGCTCTCGGGTCGGCCCTTCCCCTGCCCTTCAAGGCTGTGCCGCGGCGCCCCTGCCGGGGTGGGGCGGGGCCGGCGCATCCCGCACCCTGAATGAAGCCCAGCCCGTGGAAATGGCCAGAACCAGCCCGCCCCTGAGCCGCCGGGGCTGCCGGCTGCTCCACAAACGCGCCACTGCCCGACAGATTGGGAACAGGCCCCTAAGAGCGCGTGGGCGGGCGCGAGGCCCGAGCAGGAAGGGCCCTCCCGGAGGCGCCAGGACGCGGTGCCCTGCCCTGACCTGGGGTCCCGCGCACGCAGGATCATGCATGACGAGGTCAGCGAGACCGAGAACATCCGGAAGAACCTGGCCATCGAGCGCATGATCATCGAGGGCTGCGAGATCCTCCTGGACACCAGCCAGACCTTCGTGAGACAGGGTAGGCCCCGGGGCCGCAGTGGGCGGCACAGCTCAGGGACACGGCCCGCCAGCTGGCCGCCGCGGGCTTACCCCACGAGCACCGTGTGTGCAGTGCACGTGCAGCGTGCACGGGGGCGTGCGGGCAGGACGCCACCCTGGGGACCTGACACCCACATCCCTGGAGGTCGCTTCTCAGAGTCCCCAGGCCGTGGGCACCTGGGCCTGCTCCTGGGCAGCTGTGTCCTCTGTCCACCCTTCCCAAGGCTGTGCTCGGGGGAGCGCTTCTCTCCCCAGGCGGCCCGGGGCCCGCCCAGCCCAGGCAACACCCCAGCTCCCCGCTGGAAACCACCTGAGGCCCTGCCTCGCGGCAGGCAGCAGCCACGGTCCAGCACGGGCCGCACCAAAGCTGCCCTCCCCTCCCGAGTGCTGGGACCAGTGGGCACCCAGCAGCCCGGTCCCGCCTGGCAGCAGCACCCGGCACAGTGGGGACGGCAGGGACAGGTGCAGAGCGGCGGGTGGCGCTGCAGTTGGGGGGCTGACGAGATGGGGCTCACGGGGCCGACGGGGAAGGGCTGAGGGTGGCGACCGGGAGCCACCGGCGGCCCGACCCCAGCTGGGGACCGGGGTGGGCGGGCCGCAGGCGAGGGCTCCTGGCGGTCACCTCGGGCGGCGCGAGCTGGCGGCGCGGGCCGGGCGGGCTCAGGGCTCTGCTCACCCCGCGCAGGCTCCCTCATCCAGGTGCCCATGTCGGAGAAGGGCAAGATCACCAGGGGCCGCCTGGGCTCCCTGTCCCTGCGCAAGGAGGGCGAGCGCCAGTGCTTCCTCTTCTCCAAGCACCTCATCATCTGCACCCGCGGCTCGGGCGGGAAGCTCCACCTGACCAAGGTGAGGGCGGCAGCACCGGATGCCCGCCCTGCCCCCACCCGCCGCGGCCTGCGCCAGGCGGGCGACGCGGGACCCAGTTCCCTGGGAGGCGGCGCTGCGGGAGCGTCCTGGGTGGGGCCACCTGCCCCACGACCCGTGTGCACGCGAGTGTGGTGTGTGCACAGGGTCCACCTGCACATGTGTGGCTGAGTGCACGTTTGCACGCGCACAGGTGTGTGTTTGCACGTGGATGGGTGCACATGTGGGCGGGTATGTGGTTGCATGTGCACACGTGTGCGGGTGTGCGTGGTTGTGTGTGGTTGCGTGTGCGCATGGATGCTGCCCTGAAGCCCCTCCCGCCCCCGCCCGCTCCGGAGCGAGCCCTGACAGGAGCCCCTTGCAGAACGGGGTCGTGTCCCTCATCGACTGCACCCTGCTCGAGGACCCTGAGAGCACCGAGGACGAAGGTAGGGGTGGAGCCGCCACGTGTGTGTGGCCCAGGGAGGGCAGGTGTGGGGACCCCTTCTTGGGCCTGTTCCTTGGTGGGGGGCTGCGAGGCCCCACAGCCTGCTCCCCTGGGGCAGGGACCCCCGAGGGCTCAGGACTGCCCCCCCCCCGCCACGCAGGAGCCGCTGAAGCCCCCACACGCTGCTCCTGGACACGCACCGTCCCCTGTGGCTGCCGCCCTGGGTTCCCCAAATAACAGCTCCCGAGAGCACGACTTGCCAGCTCCACAGCGGTCACCCAACCCCGGGAATTCAGGGGCCGTGGGGAGCCCTGGGCGTCGAGGCCTGCCTCCCACGCCTGTCCTGGCCAGGTCCTGACCCCAGGGGCTCCAGGGGCCCATTCGGGACCCTCCCCCTACCCCGCCGCTGGGCCCCAGCGGTGCTCCGTGGCGGGCCCCTCAGGAAGGCACCTGCTGAGGCCAGCAGTGGGGCCCCCCAGCACCAGGGGCCACGCGCACCCGCTAACTCCGTATTTTGCAACTGGAAGCCAAAGGGTCTGGTCAAGATGTCGACCACTTGGATTTTAAGATCGGGGTGGAGCCGAAGGACTCCCCGCCCTTCACAGTCATCCTCGTGGCCTCGTCCAGACAGGAGAAGGCGGCGTGGACCAGCGACATCAGCCAGGTGGGGCCTCTGCACACGCCCCGTCGGCCCCTGGACCCCGGCCCGCGCCCTGCCACGCCCACATGCCTTGCGCTGCGCGGCCAGGGCCTGCGGGGCAGGACCCAGGGGGCAGGGCGGGGCCTGCCCGCAGCCGAAGCTGACGGCCGCCCCGTCCCCCACCCCGCAGTGCGTGGACAACATCCGCTGCAACGGGCTGATGATGAACGCCTTCGAGGAGAACTCCAAGGTCACGGTGCCCCAGATGATCAAGTAAGTGGGGCCCCGGGCTCAGCGGGCACAGACACCCCGTGAAGCTTCGCCGAGACTCGGGGGGCTTGTGGGACGTGCGGGCCTCACCCCTGCATTGTCGGCGAAGGCGCTGTCTCGCCCTTCAAACGCAGCAAGACGAGCCGTTGCGCGTTTTCTTCCTAACTTTCTCTTCCGAATTCAAAGTGAGAAACCTCAAAACACAGCGAAGAGCGAAAGCTCTGGTCCAGGGCTGTGCTTGAGGCGCCCCAGAGGGGGTGTGGGGCACCCCCTAAACCGCCAGACCTCTGCTCCTGGCCTTGCTTCCTACCTACCAGATTCTGGCCTCCGTCCAAAGCTGCTGACCCCACACACGGTGCCCAGCGCCCGCCCAGAGCCAGCACGGGCGCCCACGGCTCTGCCCCCCCAGCCCCCACCCTGGACAGCGACGCCTCGTTCAGCCGAGAGCCTGGGTCGCACTGGGAGGGCAGGTCAGAGGAGGCCAGACCTGCCGTGCCCGGGGCTGGGTCCACCCTGAACCCACCTTGGGCCAGGGCTGGGGTACCCACGCGGCTCTGTGCCCCCAGACATGCCCCACAGAGGGCCCCGCCGTCCCGCCCCCTGCACTGAGGGCTCCTGGGTGGAGTGGCCAGTGGTCGTGGCCGTCTGCCCGTTTTTGGCAAAGAACGCACATCGCGGGCCACGGGCAGCCCAAAGCCAAGTCACCCGCGGGAGGAAAAGCGGAGACATTCCCCGGTGCTGGTGTCGGGGACACAACCCCCCGGTCAGAGTGACTGCGCCGAGGACCCGGCCCCAGGCCCAGGTCTGCCCTCTCTGGGGGCCCCCTCTGGGGCTCACCCTCGGGGCGCACCTTTAGGAGAAGGCAAGGAGCTGGCGGCAAGAGCTCCGGGTCAGTGGAAGCCCAGGGACTGCCTGGCACGGCCCCCAGGAAGGGACAAGGGAACCGCGTGCGGGCGAGGCTGTGGGAGAGGCTGTGCTCGCTGAGTGTAGAGGAGGGTGCGCTGGCAGAGGGGCCGGTGCGAGCCAGGTGCAAAGGAGGGATCCGCCCACAGGCTAGCTGGGGGCAGCAGGCCCAGGCGGGGCGCAGGGGCGGGAGCGGCCTGCCCCTGCCCCCACCCCTGCCAGCCCCTCCAGCTCCGCAGGGCACGCATGTGCCCTGGCCGGTGAGGGTGAGCTTGTCCGCTTGGGTCAGCCTGAGGGCTGCTTGGGGCTCTGAAAGCTTGGAGGCGGGTGTCAGGGGCTGTAGGGCAGGCATCACCCCAAGCAGCTGACTGTGACCCCACAAGGCAGGCATAGGAGGGTGCTCAGTGCCCAGGCGGCCCTGCACCCCCCGTGCTCTGCTCCCTGCTGGCTGTGTCGGGCGGCTCCTCCTCCCTCGCCCTGGCTGCTGCTTACACCGAGCGCGGAGCCGGCAAGGACCCGGCCGGTGTCAGGGCTCCCCAGTGGCCGCCCCATGGGGTGTGCCGGGGCACGCGTCCGGTGGACCAAGGCCCTGTGGCCTCGGTTGCTGGGGGCCCTGGGAGTTCCCCACCAGCCTCGGCCCAGTGCTCGGCCTGCGGCGTCCTGGGTGCTGGTTTTATAACACGAAGAGGCGCCAAGCTCATCCCGGTGCCCGGCGGCCCCACCGCAGGCCCGGGACAGGCAGCCCCAGGGGCACACGGGCCAGTGCCGGGGGCTGGTGCCCAAGGGCAGGTGGGCTCGTGCCGGGCCGGGCGGGCCAGTGCCGGGGTGGCGCCGCCAGGTCCGAGGAGCCTCACGGCTCGGGGCTCTGGGCGGCGGCTGGAGGCGGAGCCGGGCCGCTCCTCCCGGCCGCTGTCCCTGGCCGCTGTCCCGCAGGTCAGACGCCTCCCTGTACTGCGACGACGTGGACATCCGCTTCAGCAAGACCATGAACTCCTGCAAGGTGCTGCAGATCCGCTATGCCAGCGTGGAGCGGCTGCTGGAGCGGCTGACCGACCTCCGCTTCCTGAGCATCGACTTCCTCAACACCTTCCTGCACTCCTACCGCGTCTTCACCTCGGCCGCCGTGGTGCTGGACAAGCTCGTCGCCATCTACCGCCGCCCCATCAGCGCCATCCCCGCCAGGTGGGCCCCGCCTCCGGCAGCCAGAGCCCGGGGCTCCCGCCCCAGGAAGCAGAGGGGGAGGCAGGGGCTGCCCCCTGGGCCCCACGAGAAGGGGGCCCCGGCTCCAGTGCGAGTCAGATGAGGGCAGAGGCCCTGGCCAGCTCCACCCAGGATGGGCCAGCTGGACCCGGGAGGACCCAGAGATGGCCGCTGGCGGCGGAGGCGGAGGGGCGGGTCTCACCAGGCCACTCTGCACCTCCCTGTCTGAGCCTGGGCAGTGGGCAGGTGGGCGTGGCCCTTCCCTCCTGTGCCCCCCTGCTCCCACCTGCGGCCCTGGCCAGGCCGCAGCCTGGCGTGGCTACTGGGAGCCCGGGGTCTAGGGCAGCCCAGCCAGCACCGCGTGGTCACTGCAGACCAGCCGGAGCCTGAGCTCAGGCTGAGGGCCGGCTCAGAGCCTGAGTTCGGGGGGCTTTGCCAGCAGGGGCGCCCAGACCCTGCTCCGAGTGGCTCCTGGAAGGCCAGCCAGGCCCTGCCCAGCGGGACACACGTGGGGGGCAGATCCACCCAGGCTGCCAGCAGGAGGCCAGCTGCAAAGCTGGACACAGGCCCCATGGCCCCTCCCGGAACTGGGGGAGGGGCCGCCGGCTGTTTACCCGGCTGCCGGCCTCGGCCCTGCACCGCCCACCCACCCCCAGCTCAGAGCCCCACCGCCTGCTCCCCCAGCCTCCCAGGCATGACGTGGACCAGAGTCCCAGCTGCAGGGCTGTCCGGGGCCGGAACCCCGAGCCACACGGAGCCCCCGGCCTGCGGGGTTCAGGCCACCTGGGATAGGGGCGGTGGGGGCAGGCAGCTCTGCTCACTGCTCAGCCCTTGTCTGCTGAGCTTCCAGGGCCTCTGCCGCGGGCCTGGGCGAGGAAGCCGGGGCCCCTCCAAGCCAAGACCTCCCCAGCACGCAGCTCCCGGGCCCGGGCCAGCGCCTGCACCCCCGGCGGCAGCGGGGCTGACCCTGCGCTCCCCCCAGGTCACTGGAGCTCCTGTTCGCCAGCGGCCAGAACAACAAGCTCCTGTACGGGGAGCCCCCCAAGTCCCCACGCGCCACGCGCAAGTTCTCCTCGCCGCCACCCCTGTCCATCGGCAAGACGTCCTCCCCCAGCCGCCGGCGGAAGCTCTCGCTGAACATCCCCATCATCACGGGCGGGAAGGCCCTGGACCTGGCGGCCCTGGGCTGCAGCCCCAACGGCTACACCAGCGTGTACTCGGCCATATCGCCCTTCAGCAAGGCCGCGCTGGACCCTGGCAAGCTCTACGTGTCCAGCAGCCTCGCCAGCAAGGTTCCGGACGAGGGCGAGGCGGCTGCTGAGAGGCCCGACGACCCCTCGACTCTCAGCAAGCAGAGTGAGTGGCCGCCCCCGCCCCCTGGGCTGGGTCCTGCCAGGCTGCTACGGCAGCTGGGGAGGGCCTGGGGCCCCATGGGCCCCCAGCAGGAGGCCTGGGAAACCGTCGGACAGGCTGGTAGTGCAGTCTGGGGCCGAGGGGGAGCCCAGATGGCGGGGTCCCCGCCTTGGCGGTGCCTCCTGCGGGCCTCCGCTTGTCTGCCGCTGCCGCCGTGCCAGGGTCACGGTCTGCTCAGGCCAGGGCCAGACGTGAGGGGTGGCGCTGGTAAATGCTGGGCTGGGGTGCAGAGGACGGGCTGCCGGCCGCCAGCAGGGGCGGGAGGCTCCGTGAGGGCCCAGCCAGCTGGCTGTTCGCCGGGCGGAGGAAGGCCGGAGACAGGGACTGAGGACAGGCGAGGGCTGCCGCCCGGGGCCGCACCACACTGGCTGCAGGGGGGTGGCCTGTTCTCAGGGCCCCGGCTGGTCCCGAGGGCCCTGCCGGCCTCCTGAGAAGCGGGGCCATTCCCCGCAGGCTCGGAAGTCTCCGTGAGGGAGGAGTCGGACAACGAGCAGGCCCCGAGCGACGAGGCCGAGGCGGAGGCCTCGCCCACCAAGTCCCCCACATCGCCCAGATCGCTGAAGGGCAAGAGCTCAGGTACTACCAAGCGCCGGCCGGCAGGGGCCCTGGCTTCGTGAGCGGCCCTACGCCGGGGCCTGGCCACGGGTCCGGGGGCACCGAGCGGGCAGCACCGCGGCCAGGCCGCCCCCCAACGCACGGAGGCCTGGGGCCCTGCATCGTGTCTGCTTGGGCGGGGCAGGGCCGGGGCCCCGTGTTTCTAGTAAGGGAGCAGACTCGAGAGCTGAGCGCAGACACCCCCTAGGCGCGTCCTGCGGCCCAGACTCCCCAGCTGCCTGGCTGCCACGGGGGGTGTCCAGGCCGCCCCCACCCCCTGACCCAGGAGCCGGCACCAGCCCCCGCAGCCCAGGCACTACCTCCACCCCGGCTTCTTGCCGCCGGCCCGGCCCCCCCAGGACGCCCGCCCTCTGCTGCTCCTCTCCTCCCTGGCCCCCTCCTGACGTGGGCACCGGCTCCCCGGCTATACCAGGGAGCTGAGCTCAGAGGGCCGGGGCGCTGGCCGAGTCCCGCAAAGGGGAAAGGCCCCTAAGTCCACCTCCCCCCGGCTGGGCTCCGGACAGGCCAGGGTCCCCCCGCAGGCCCGGGTACTCGCTCGGTCATGAGCCGGAGGGCTGGGGGGCAGAACCCTCCGCATGATAGGGGATCCGGGACTCCCTGGCCGGCAGCACAGAGCGGGTGGCCCTGCAGGGACCTCAGGGCCACCGCCCAGCCCACCCACTGCCCAGGTGCAGCCTGGGCCCAGCCCCGACTGCCGGGCTGGGCCAGCAGGGCTGAGGCTGCTCCAACTCTGCAGAGTTCCCGCTCTTTTCCTACAACAACGGCGTCGTCATGACGTCCTGCCGGGAGCTGGACAGCAGCCGCAGCGCCCTGTCGGCGGCCTCGGCCTTTGCCATCGCCACGGCGGGGGCCAACGAGAGCACCCCCAACAAGGAGAAGTACCGGCGGATGTCCTTGGCCAGCGCAGGTACCGGGTCTCCGGCTGGAGCTCAGCGCCCAGCACCCCAGGCCCTGCCAGTGCCGCCCCTCTGCTGCTCCGGTGGAGCCCCCTCCGCAGTCTGGGCCCTGCGGGAGACGTGGGGCTCCTGCCATGTCCGGAGAGGCTGCCAGAGCCTCCCGCAGCCCCTGGAAGGTGCGCGGCCCGGCAGGTGTGCCCAGGGCCATCCTGAGAGCCGGTGGGCGGCTGGGACGTCTGCTCGCAGGCACACGGGCGCCCGCACCACCCGGGCTCGGCGGGGTCGTCAGGAGCGGCCCCTGCTTCCTGTCCTCACGGCCCCCACTGCACCCCAGGGTTCCCCCCCGACCAGAGGAACGGAGACAAGGAGTTTGTGATCCGCAGAGCCGCCACCAACCGCGTCCTGAACGTGCTGCGGCACTGGGTGTCCAAGCACGCCCAGGTGGGCAGGGCTGCGGCTGTCAGCCCGGGCGGGCGGGGCCGCGGGTGTCCGGTCCAGGTGGGCGGGGCCTCCAGTGTCCTCCGGCCCAGGTGTCAGGGCCGCTGTCCACCCTCCCGCCTCGGCCTGCAGCCCCATGTCCTGGCCTCGGGGTGCTGGGATGGAGGGACTGTCCTGCCCACTCCCCTTCCTGGGGTCTCGGCCCTCTGGCCTCCAAGCAGCCGTGAAGACCTGGGATGGCAGCCAGAACCCAGCCCCTCCCACAGGACTTCGAGGCCAATGCCGAGCTCCAGGGCAAGGTGATCGGCTTCCTGGAGGAGGTGATGCGGGACCCGGAGCTGCTGACCCAGGAGCGGAAGGCCGCGGCCAACATCATCAGGTCAGGAGTGGGCGGCCCAGCAGGGGCAGTACCCTCTCGGCAGCCCAGCCTGCGGGGGCCGGCCGTTGCTCCGCTGCCCCCCCCAAGGCCACGGCTGCCGTTCCGCCTGTGTCCAGCCACTCACCTGGCAGGCCCCACGCAGGGCAGTCCCAGCTGCTGTGTCTGAGCGGCCCGGCTCAGCGCACCGCCTGTGGGGCCTGGGTGCAGACCCACCGCTGCCACACCCGTCCCCGGGCTCAGAGAGCACCTGCTGGTTCGAATTGAGCTAAATTGCCCCAAACTGGAACTTCTTCCTCCTGCCCAAGTGGCCTCTCTGGGCAGAGGCCAGGGCTCCAGCAGGCCCCCTCAGAGCCTCCCTTCTGCTCTGGGCATGGGTGAACAAGCCCCCGAGGGAGGCTGGGGAGGTCTCCTTCTGCCCGCCCCCCCCACAGGCTGCCCCCACCTGCCCCCCAGAGGGGGCCTCAGCCAGCAGGGAGGGTCCAGGAGCGGCCCCAGCCCCGACCCCAGGAGAAGCCAGGCGTGGGAGAGCCGGTGCTAAGGGCCCGCTGAGCGGAGGGCCACGTGGGCGGCAGGACGGGCCACGGCGCCTTGTGTCCCCTAGGACGCTGACCCAGGAGGACCCGGGTGACAACCAGATCACGCTGGAAGAGATCACACAGCTGGTGAGCGCCCTGCCCTCTCTGTCCGGGCCCGCCCCTGGCCGCCGGGCACAAGGTGCTGCGGCCTCGCTGCTGGGGGATGGGGCAGGCCTCGTCCAGTGCTGCGGCCTCCCTGCCCACTGCAGACACAGCCACACGTGCCCACCACTGCCAGCACCCCCCCCCCACCGCGGCCACGGCCTCTCCCAGCACAGGCCTAGCGTCACCACGTCCTTCTCCTCGCCCGGTGCCCATTCCTGTCCTGTCCCCTCTGCTGCTGCCCCTTGAGGACGGAGGAGCTTCTTAGCCACATGCCCTGGGCACCCTGTGGCCCTGGGCACCCTTAGCCGCGTGCCCCGGGCACCCTGTCCCATCCTCCAGACAGGCGCTCCCGAGGGATCAGCCAGCCGCTGCTGCCCCAGGGGCCAGGGTGGGCTCAGGGCATGGTCCTGGGGGCCTCTCCAGGTGGGTGCTGTGCTCCCCGGGCCCCAACACCCCAGAGCTCCAAGCCTGGCAGCCAGGGGTGCAGGCAGACTAACCCCTTGGCTCTGCCACTCAACGTCCAGTCTGGCCGCCTGTGCACAGGCCCCAGTGCGGACGTGGGGTCTGGCTCTTCCCCCGACCCTGGGAGGAGTGGACCCTGCCGTGTACCCCACCTGCGCCCCACACTCCTAGCCCGAGAGCCCGCAGAAGAGCCGGTTCTCCTGGACCTGAGCCGGGACCTGGGCATGCCCCCATGTCCCCAGACTGACGTCGGGGCTGGGGCTGAGTCCAGGGCAGGGGCCCACTCACCACCCATGGCGCCTCCCAAAGGGCCTGGAGTGCCTCCCTCCGGGGCTGAGGGCCACTTGTCCCTTCCGGAGCCCCACGCTTGGGCCGCCCAGCCCTGCCCTCCTGGCCAGGCAGCGGGCATCGAGCGTGAGGCAAGATCGGGTCACGCCACGGGCGGGGCGAGGCCACCCACCCCTCCTAGTCCCTGCCCCCTCCTGCCCGGGGTAGGTCCCTTGGTCCCGGCCTCTCTTGGCCAGATGCTTCAGCCTCTGGGCTCCGGCCCAGGACCAGCTGCTGGGCACTCACACTGGCTGCCACCCCGCCCGTCCTTCCTGGCAGCTGCAGCCGGCACCTGCCTGCACTGGCCTCTGCCTTGACCGCTCCTGGCCCAGGGACTGTGTATGCCAGCCCCACACGCACACGCGGGCACACAGACACATGCACATGCAGGCATGCACGGGCACACACATGCACAGACACACGTGCACAGGTACAGGCAGGCACGGGGCCCCCACTCTCCTGCCCTGACCAGGGGCTAGAGCCCAGCGCCAGGAGTCTGCTTTCTCCAGTGTCTGGCAGGACCCCCAGGGCTCCAGCCCCCCAGAACCAGGGGTTCCCCAGGGCGCCCCTGGGCCTGACCCACACCCTGCCACAGGCGGACGGTGTGAAGGCCGAGCCCTTCGAGAGCCTTTCTGCGCTGGAGATCGCCGAGCAGCTGACCCTGCTGGACCACCTGGTCTTCAGAAAGATCCCCTACGAGTGAGTGCGCCGTGGGGCCAGCACCTGCGCGGGGCCCTCTTGGGGCACAGCAGCGTTCCCCACACCGCCCCAGAAACTTCTCCAACGCACGCTGCCGTTCTGGAGGCCCAGAGGGCACAGCGGGGGGACAGGGTGTGAGCCCTGCAGGGCAGGGACCGCCCGCGTTGGCATCTGTTAAGTCTCTCCCCGAAGGCAGCACACCTGCAGTTGGAGGAGCCCCCCGGGGCCCCGAGATGCCAGTCTGCCCCTTGGTGGGAGGCAGCCCTCCAGCACACACCCCAGTTTCGCCACTGAAGCCCCCCAGCAGGGCGGGCTCTGGGAGCACCCCGTGAGCATGCAGGTGTCCAGGCTTCACCAGCGGGTCGACCCCACCCCACCGGGGAGCCGCAGCTGTCTGGCCTGCTCCTCTGGGGGGCCGGCCCCCTCCGACTGGACGCCCCAACGGCCACCCCGCTGCGGACGAGAGGCTGGGCGAGCTCCGCCGACCTGACCGAAGCTGACCGCCCGCGCCCCACAGGGAGTTCTTCGGACAAGGCTGGATGAAGCTGGAGAAGAACGAGAAGGCCCCGTGCATCATGAAGACCACCAAGCACTTCAACGACGTGAGTGGCCTCCCGCCCTCCCCGCCCCAGGCCACAGCCCTGTCCCCTGCGGCCCAGCGCGGCCGGCGGCTCACCCTGGCCCGCCCCGCGCCTTGCCCGCGGGCCTGCAGATCAGCAACCTGATTGCCTCCGAGATCATCCGCAACGAGGACCCCGGCGCGCGGGCGAGCGCCATCGAGAAGTGGGTGGCGGTGGCGGACATCTGCCGCTGCCTGCACAACTACAACGCGGTGCTGGAGATCACGTCCTCCATGAACCGCAGCGCCATCTTCCGGCTCAAGAAGACCTGGCTCAAGGTGTCCAAGCAGGTGGGCGCGCGGCCGCGGGCCTTGCCGGGGCTTGGGGGGGCAGGTAGGGGTAGGGGGGTGGCTTTGGGGGGAGCAGGGCCAGGGGAGTGGCGTGGGGGTGGGGTGCCAGGGAGGGAGCTGGGGGGTGGGGGGAGGTTGCCTTGAGGGGGAGGTGAGGGGTGTGTTGTGGGGCGGGGCTCGGGGAGTGGGGGGCCGGGAGAGGTGGGGGGCAGGGGCCAGGGCCAGGGAGGCACCCCTCCGCAGGAGGTGGGGCTGCACGAGCTGCCACCCAGAAGGAAGGAGAGTGAGCGGGTCCGAGATCAGGCGAGGCCTGGGCAGGCCCGCGGGGCCACAGGCCGTTTGCCGGGGCGCCCCCTGCCACAGGCCGTTTGCCAGGGCACCCCCTGCCGGCATTGAGCTGTCCGTGTGCTGAGTTGGGGGCCGCTGAGCCGCAGGGCGCTCTCTTCTAAAGAACTGGGGCCGAAGCTGCCTGTCTGCTGGTGCCCGGCTGGCGAGGCGGTGGCCGGTCTCCCCGCTTCACACACCAGCGGCTTCAGCACGGAGGGGCCCACCCAGGGGCCCCCGCTTGGCTGGTCCTCCCGACAGAGTCCTGCCGGGGCTGCTGTCAGCGCAGGAGGTGGGAGCGGAGGCTGGGCCGGCGCGGAGGGTGAGGGCAGGCGGTGGGCTCCGTGCCCGCAGCCCGGTGGAGCACGCGGCGGGCCAGCGCGGGCAGCTAACCCTCCGGTTCCTTCCAGACGAAAGCTCTGATTGACAAGCTCCAGAAGCTTGTGTCCTCCGAGGGCAGATTTAAGAACCTCAGAGAAGCCCTGAAAAAGTAAGTGTGTCGCCGCCAACCAGGGCCTCGCGGCCCGTGGGCAGCTCTGTCTGTGCATGTGTCCCCCTCCCGCGGCCCCCGCCAGCTCCCACAGGAGCCCAGCTTCGGGGCAGGCGCCTCCGGCACGGCCGGAAGAGCAAACATCTTGCTGTTTCTAGCATCGAATGTCTTAGAATCGAGGTGCCCGTTTAGGGTGACTGGGTGTCCCTGACTTGAGAACCAGTCATCAAAGCACGTTCCTGAACAGCCGTCCTGGACCCAGGGCAGCACTTTGCCAACGGCAGCCGCTGTGCCAAGGGCGGGGCCACGGCCTCCCGGCCCGGGTCAGCCAGGGAACCTGCAGGGTGCCCACCCCCAGGCGCTGCCCTCCACCCACCCACCCCTGGGGCCCCCAGTCGGCACAGTGTCCCCCAAGGGCCTCCCCGAGGACAGACCCCCTGTCCTCCCCACAGGCAGCAGGGCTGGGTGCCCGTCAGCCTGAGGCCACTTGCTCCGGGGCCCTGGGCAGCACCGGCCATCAGCTCAGCCCGGCTGTGGCGTCCTGCTGCCCCAGCGCACAGCGGGTCGCCCTCAGCACTCGCAGCCACTGTGGGACCACGGCCAGCCCCGCTCCCCGCTGCCCCCAGACCTCAAAGAGACGCTGGCCCAGGTCCCACGGCACACAGGGGGCCGCCTCGCCCACCACCACCTCTGCCCAGGACAGGACGAGCCCTGGCGGCCGCCCTGCACCTGGCCCCGGCCCGGCCCCGCCGTCCCTGCCGCCTGTGCCACTGTGGCGGCCACCTCCACCGTGTGTGTCCTCAGCTGCTGTCCCTCCCGTCTGGTGTCCAGTGGGGACACAGGGACAGGGTGCTGGGTCACCTGTGCACGGCGCCCAGTGTGTCCCGTGGGCATGCGTTGTGTCCTGCACACGCATGTGGCACGCCTGCGTGTGCCGTGTGCACTGTGCATGGTGTGTGTACACGTGTGTGCATCTGGCACGTTGGTCCGGGCGCTGCCCCAGGCCCCTCCCTAAAGGCAGCAAGGGGCAGTGGGCGCTGCTGGTGAACCGCCCGCCGCACGCGCCCAGCGCACTCCTGCCTGGGGCTCCCTGGGGCTCCCTGGGGCTGCCGGGCCAGCGGGCGTGGCTGTCCTGTGCCCTCGGCTGTGCCCCAGGGCCCTTCCGGCTGCTTCTCGGCAGGGCTCGATTCCTCGCGCCCCACACGGCCTGGACGCTCAGCCTCGCAGCCCAGGGCGCCAGGCGTCCGCGCTTCCAAACAGCCTCCCTGGAGTCAACTTGCTCTGCCGCCAGGTCCCTAAATTCATGAGCAAGAGGCTGGCGGCCGAGTGGGCGCTCTGACGCGCCTCGTCTGTGTGAGCCAAGGGGCGCAGAGCCCCCCAAAGGGACCTCGCCCGGGGCCCTAGCACCGGAGGCGCCAGAACCAGACACAAACCCAGGGCGCCCGTCCCCAGCGCAGGCAGCAGCGGGGCCCAGCCGGGCGGGGGCGGGGACACGGGCTGGCGGGGTGCTGGGGCTCGGGACGGGGGGACGCGGGTGGGGGCTCGGGGCAGGGCTCGGGTGGAGAGTCGGGGCGCAGAGGGGGCCTCCCGGCTGAGGAGCCCCAGGCCCCAGGGCTGGCCCTCAGACCCGACCCCACCCCTACCCCCCGCCCCCCCGCGAAGCCCCTCACCCCCTCAGTAGAGGCACCCAGGGGCCCAATCAGTGCTCTCCCTGCTTGCCTCCAGCTGCGACCCCCCCTGTGTCCCGTACCTGGGCATGTACCTCACAGACCTGGCCTTCATCGAGGAGGGGACCCCCAACTACACGGAGGACGGCCTGGTGAACTTCTCCAAGATGAGAATGGTGGGTCTCCCCCCGCCCACCCCGGCCCGGCCCCCGGCGGGTCTAGCCAGCTCTGGGCGACTTCATTTGTCCACTCCTGCCTGTGACTGTCACTCCCGTGCCCCCCGCCCCAGAGCAAGACTGAAACTGGAGAGGATGCGGGCGGGGGTCTAGCACCCCCGTTTCTGCTCTCAACCCGGGGGCTCTGCCTGTCGGGTTTGCGCAAGAGGTGGCGGCACCTCTGCGCGACGGCGTGCCAGCCCCTCTGCCCTACACGCAGTAGGTGCCAGGTGCTTTAGCTGCCGCTGGGGCTGTGTAGGGGTGCACTGCTTGCACCCCAATCCAGTGCCATCTCTTCTCTCAAGCACGGGGCATGGCCGACCTGCAGACACTGGGCAGCCAGCACCCCGGGGCCAGGAGCCCCTGCCGCCCTGCCGGGACCCTGCCCACGCTGGCGTGCCCGTGACGGGCGGCGCACACAGGCCCGAGTGGGCGCCCCCCCACACCGTGGGGACAGCACCAGGCGGCGACAGCTTCCCGAGCACCTTGTCCCCACAGATTTCCCACATCATCCGGGAGATCCGCCAGTTCCAGCAAACCGCCTACAAGATCGAGCACCAGGCGAAGGTGGGTGGCGCCAGCACCCCGACCTGGGGGGGCACCACAGGGGGTGAGGGGGGAACCAGCACGGCAACGGGGGGGATAGAGGGCACTGGCACCGCAACAAGGGGGACGCTGACCCCACCAACACTCTCCCTGAAGGCCCCTCCTTCGCGGAGCCCCATCACACCGCATCGCAGGCGGTGGGGGAAGGGCTGAGCCACAAGACCCCAGCGCAGGCGGCCGGGAGGGTGTGGGCAAGCGCCTGGTGCCACCCACTCGGGGGGCTGTCTCCCACAGGGGTGCCGAGGCTCCCGCTGAGAGGCAGAGACCCCGTGTGGGGGGCTGGTGCGGCCGCGGGCCCTCATGGGGAAGCCGGGGCAGCTTACAGGGCCGGGCCAGCCTGCATGCTGGAGAGACTGCTCCCGGCGGGCGCCCGCCAGTCCTGTCCTCAGCCCTGCGCTCGGGGGTGACTGGGCTGCCTCGCTCCGGGGTCCAGGCCCCGCAGAGCCCAAGAACAGCCCGAGCACCCTCTGCTGCCTGGGGACAGCTGCGCCCAGCGAGCTCCTCCCCGGAAAGGGGGCGGGAGGCGGGAGGCGGGGTGGGGGTGGGGGCGGCCCTCTGTCCACCCCCCCAAGCCCCGCAAGCAGCAGAGCCAATTCTGCAACCTGGCCCTCACAGCGGCTCTGCCAGTCGCCCATAAAGCACAATTTTTGGGGCGCTCCTGGGCCTGCCCCATGGCTGACCCCAGCCGTGCCCAGGAGGGGAAAAGCCGGGCACCATGTCGGGAGGGTGTCCCCGCCTCCGGGGCGTGTGTGGACATACAATGGGCTGTTGACTGCACGCAGCTGAACGGAGCCAGGAAGGCGCGGAGCTGGCACCGGGCATGGCCCTCCCTGGCCCCTAATTCCAGCGGGAGGGACGTGGGGAGCACAGGGGCCCTGGCCCGGCTGGTCTTTGGGCCGCGGCCTTCGCCACGCCTGCTCGGGCTGCTGTCCCGGCGGAGGCGACGCCCCACGCCCTCTGCTCAGCCGCGCCGCGGACACCAGGTCTTTCATCCCTGCCCGCCCGCGCTTCGCGGCCTGTGGTCAGGCGGGGCTGCCCGTGCGAGGCCAGGCCACCACCGGCCGGGGAGCCGCGGGCACAGCGCCCGCCTGACCCGCCCCCCCCCCAGGTGACCCAGTACCTGCTGGACCAGTCGGCGGTCATGGACGAGGAGCGGCTGTACGAGTCCTCCCTGCGGGTGGAGCCCAAGCTCCCCACCTGAGCAGCCGGCGCCTGTACCTGCGGCGCGGCCGCCCCGCGCTTCTCCAGAGCCGCCGCCCGCCCCCAGCCGGACCGCGCCCGCCCTCCCGCCGCCCGCCGGGCTCCCAGCATGTTCGTGTCGTTGTCTCCTGGGGTGGGGGGTGGGGGCCGCACCCTGACGTCCGGCGTGGACGACCCTTCCCGCTGGTGGCCACGCCCCGCCCACGGCCGCTTCTCCGCCCGCCCCGCGCGTCCAGCCCGGGCCCGGCCGCTGCTGCCCAGCGTGCCCCGGGACGGCGGACGGCCAGGCGGGGCGGGCGCGGCCGGGGTGGTGGCCGGGCCGGCGGGCGGCCCCCCGGCGGCCGCCGGGCAGAGCCGAGGGCCGCCCGCGCCCGCCCCGCCGAGGCATGCCCGCAGACGGACAGCTGCGCCGCAAGCAATACCTAGTGGTGTCCAGCCGAGTCACGTCCTAAAGTCCTTCAACTTACAGCTTGTTTGGAAAAAGAAATTACCATTTTTGTAAAAATATATGTTTCCTGATTACCTCTTGCTAATAAATCTATTCTATCTCAGGGTGAACCGTGAGCCTGGTGGGTTTCACTGGTGCTCGCAGGGCCGGGCGCGGCGGAGACTCCGCCCTGCCCGCCCGGCCTCCATGGGCAGCTCCCTGGCTCCGTAGGGCAGGGCGCCGTGGGCCTCCGCCGGGCCGGGACTCCTGGGGGAAACCGCTGGCGCCCCCTGGGAAAGAGGAGCAAAGATGGGCACCTTGAAGGCTCCGAAGAGACAGGCTGCAGGAGGCCAGGCCCGGGACAAGACCGCCAGGAGCCGGGGTCGCTGGTGGAGGGCCGTGGGGCAGGGCCCGCCTGGCAGAGGAGAGGCCACCCAGGTGCGGGCAGCTGGGCACCCTTGCAGGCCCAGCTGCCAGGCCTGGGCAGAGGCCGCCTTCTGCCCAGGATGCCCCCGCTGCCTGCGCTGTGGTCTGGGACATGGAGGGAGGGCGTCCCTGTCTGCCGCCTGCCCCCTGCTTCACCTCCCCAAGCCCCAGTTTCTTCATCTGAGAAGTGGGGCGAAGCCAGTCTGTGATCACACGGCAGAGAGCCCAGTGGCACGTGCACAGCCTGGTGCTGAGGGTGAGCTGACGTGCAGAGAGAGGGCAGTGTGTGGGCGCTGTGCCCTGCCCGGCGACCTCGCCCCCACCTCAAGGCTGGAGGTGCCCCCTGACAGGAGGGGCTGGGGGGCTGGGCAGCGCCCCTGGGGTCATGGGTGGGCGGGGACCGGGAGGTGCAGGAGGAGGCCGGCGACACCCACCACACTGGGGCCAGCCTGCCCGGCTCAGGCCTGGAGGGCCGCTCCCTGCCCAGTCCCCGTCCGTGAGAGATGCTGAGCCTTCCCACCCGTGCACCTCCCCGAGTGCCCGTGGGCGCAGGAATGAAGCAGGCCGAGGCCCTGCCCGGCTGACATTCCAGGGCGCGGGGGAGGCCGAGGAGATAGGAGGACGCGTCTGACCTGAAACCCGGTCCTGCCCTGGCGGGAGGCCTCTGACACTGAATGGCCCGCAGTGTGGCACAGACAGGAGGCGGCCGGGCGGGGCGAGGGGCGCGTCCACCGCCTGCGAGGGCAGCAGACAGCCGTGGGAGGCAGCGCCGGTGCACTGCTCCGCGGCACGGACGCGTGGACCAAGTCTCGGTCTTTCCCCTTCAGCAGCGCCCGTGCTCCGGGCCTGTCCTCCTCGGCCCCCTCACGGCCTCCCGCCCCTGTAGGCCGCTCAGGGTCGAGTCCCCGCAGGCTGGCGGGCAGCTCGGCTGTGTGCACAGAGCGGGATTCTCAGGGGCCCTGGCCCCACAGGTGCCCGTCGCCCACTCCTTGCTCTGCCCTGCGCTGTGCTCGCTGGGTGGGCCGCAGCGGGAAGGCCCAGAGGGGGGCGAACGTCCAGGGAGGGGAAGATGCCGCCAGACCGCCCGACGCCCACCCGGCCAGGGGTGCCATGAAGCCAGGTGTTGACCCTCCAGCTGCCTCCCTGAGAGCCGTGCCCCTGTGGGGACTGCCTGGCCCGGCCTCCCGGCCACGTGTGGGTCCCCTCAGCACCTTTGTACAAGACAGAAGCCCAGGGGCCACCCTGGCCGTCTATGCGCCCTGGGTCCCCAGCAGGCGCAGGCCCCTGGGGCCTCAGTTGCCCGGCCCCGCAACTGTGAGCTCAGCCCTTTGAGACCCACATGGAAGCCCCTGCCAAGCCCTGTGGGGCGCCCGCCGGGCCAATGTCCACCGGCCTGGCTGTCCACATCCTGCCTCTCCAGGCCTCGCCCGAAAACCACGCCCTCATTTTGGCAGTTGCAGCTCAGCTGCGCTGCCCGCCGCGCCCCCCGCAGCGTGCCCAGCCGCAGGACTCGGCCACGGCCCTGGAGCCATGACCAGCCGGAGCGGTGCAGGAACCTCCCCCGCCTGGAGGGGAGAGTGTCTGGGGTGGCCGTGGGGGATGCATGGCCGGCCGGAAGCCCCGCCCCCCAGAGTGGGGCAGACTGTGCTGGCCCTGCCGGGCCCTGAGCCTCCGGCCTCGAGGTGAAAGCCCAGACTGCTCAGGCCAGTGTCCGCCTGCCCGCGGCCACTGCCCACTGTGCTACACCAGCCTCCGCCTTTGGGGTCCTTGGTCAGCACGTCCCTGCCCCCAGCCGCCAGGTGCTGCCAGCATCTCCCGGTGCCGGAGGAGCCGACACTGTCCCAGCCGTGTCCGGCCCAGTGAGGACAGCCCTCGGGTCCGCCTGACTGGCCCAGCCGCCCTGGCCGGTGCCTCGGCCCGCAGCACCTCGGGCCCTCAGGAGCCCTTTCCTGCTGCTCAGGGCCCGGGGTCCGCCCTGCTCCTGCCTGTCCTCCCCGAGCTCCCCCCGCCGCTGGAGAGCCCGCAGCCGCCCGAGCGGCCCCGGCAGCAGGGTCAGCGCGTGCGGAGACCAGGCAGCCAGAGAGCGGACAAAGCGGACGCCAAAGTCTAAAACTTCTGAGCACCCGAGTGCGTCCCCACGTGGGCTGAGGGCAGCCTGGCCCCACAACCTCACAGCCATGGCTTCCAGCCACGCAGGGGCCCCGGGGCAGGGTGAGTGCGCGCAGGTGGGCAGCGCAGGTGGTGGGCGGTGGGGGGCACGGGGCGGATGGGGCGGGGGTGGGACGTAGGGATGTCCCTGTGGTCCGCACCCCGGGGCGGGGTGATTCACGGCCGTCTGCTCTCGGGAAGGAAGTGGCGGGGGCGGGGCCGGTCGGGCAGAACCGCAGGTGTCAGCTTCCTGCGGGCTTGGAGCCCCCCCTGCTGCTTTCCCCCTTCACCCCAACTCCACGCGCGCGCCTCTCCCCGAAGGCGGCCCCTCCGGAGGGAGCGTAGCCCGCCGGGCGGGTCCGCAAAGAGCGAGGCCTCTCGCAGACAGGACAGAGGAGGCAGGTGCCCCATCTGGGTCGCTCCGGGGCGGTGGGGTGAGCTGGGGCGCGGGCCCTGGAAGCAGCAGGGGGACCCACGAGGCCCCAGCGCCTCCCAGCCCGGGCCCGGCGGGCTGGTTCCTCTTTCCAGGGTGAGGGCCTCGGGCCAGTTCTCAGACCTGCGCTGCCTTCGCCTGGACCCCTGAGGCCGTCACCGGGGGACGCGCCCCACGACCAGCACCCGGGAGCCCCAGCGCCCTCCCGCGAAATCCTGCCCAGTGGCTGGGGACGCGCCCTGGGGTCGCCCCACACCTGCATGCTTCCTGCCTGCAGCCCCCGCCAGCCGCTGCCTCACCCCAGACTGCGAGCGGAGCGAGTCCCGGGGGCCACCGCCGCTGCGGACAGGGCGACCGAGACGGGGAGCATGGGCCGCGCCCCCACAGCTGGGAGCCCTTCGCCAGCAGGGGGGGGGGGAAGGCAGGGAGGGGGGGCTGGGGAGGCGAGAAGTCAGGCGTGACCCCTCCACCAGCAGCCTGGGGGCGCAGCCCGTCTGGGCCAGAGTCCCGGACCCGCAGGAGAGAGGGGCTGAGGGCTGGGGGAGGGCCGGGGACAGGGATGGCTGGCGGGGAGCAGGTCAGAGGCACCCCAGCGGGAGGAGCAGGCGCAGGTGTGGGGGCCCCGCCCCGGCGCTGGCCCCGCCCGCCCGCCCGCCCAGCTGCCCAGCCGCGGGGCGCCCCGCCAGTGCCGACCCAGCCGCGCGCCATGCGGGCCCTGCTGCCGCTGCTCTGCGCCGGGGCGCTGCTCCTGGGGCCCCCGCCGTCGCCCCGCCCGCCAGCTCCTTAGGTACGGGGAACCGGGGGCGCGAGGCCTGGGGCTCCCCAGGTCGGAATTGGGACGTGGTGTCCCACGCGCGCGGTGCAGGGGGCCGCGGGGCTGGTCCTCACAGCCAGCAGCAGGCGGGCGGTGTCCAGGCCCCTCGCGGCCGAGCCTGGACCCTGAGCCGCGGCCCCCGCCCCTCTCCCCCTCCCCCCTCCGCCCCGGGAGGACTTTGGTCTGTCCCCAGGCGACGGGACTTCCCGCCTCTTTGGGCAGCCTCCCCGGGCCGCGGGCGCAGGGTGGGTGGGGGCCGCGCGGGCCAGGGGTCTGCTTGCAGGGATCCCTGGCAGGGGACATGGGCACCCGGCCCTGGGGGGCACATGGGGGGACCTGGGCGGCTCGCAGGGCCCTGGGGCCCGCTCCGGCTGGGCGCTCCTCCCGCCCCCCTGTGAGGTCCCGGCCAGGAAGCAGTTTTGGCCAGGGGGCCTGCCTGGCCAGCGTCAGTCTCCCCCCAGGTCACGTGACCGGCCCTGGTGCCGGAAGGGGGGCTGGCGGGCACAGGTGGATGGCCCCTGGGGTGAGCCTTGCCAGCCCGGGAGTCCCACGCCTGGGGGCGTGCCCGCCGCGCCAGGACTTCCCGCCCGGCTGCGGGGGAGGGTGGACTGCGCCCTGCTAGTAAGTCTTCGGGGCTGACTTGGGCCCTGCGGCCTCTGCCTCAGGCGGGAAAGCAGCCTGGTCGTGTCCCCAAAACTATCACGACGAACACTGAAATCTCAGCTGCGCGGGGTTTCCAGGGGCCAGGAGGGCCTACAAGTGCTCCTGCTGCTCGTGTTACAGGACAGCCCCTCCTTTTCCCCCTAACACTCGGAGCGCAGGCGCCCCTTGGGCTGTGGCTGCGTGCGGGCAGGCGCCCCGACAGGACCCCTCTCCCAGAAGCCCCGTGGTGGGGGGCATCGCAGCAAACCCCTCGGTCCCTCCCCAGGGCCATCCCCGGCCTTTCCCACTGACCTCCAGCCAGTGCGGAGCAGAGCCTGCGCCCGTCCAGCCTGCGCGCCCCCCTGCCCAGGCCCTCAGGAGCTGCCCACATCAGGCCGGGGCAGCCGCTGCCGGGGGCGGGCGCCTCTGCGCAGAGACGGCTCTGGCTCCGCCTGGCGTCTGGAGCTGATCTGGGCGCGGCCGAGCTGAGGAATCCAGTGCTGTGACCCTTCGCCCCCAACTCTGCTCAAATAGCCCTGGGGGTCACTCGCCTGAACCCTGTGGCCTCTGTATCGCAAGAGAGGGCGGAGGCAAAACTCGCAGGAGGGGGGCGCGCAGGGAGAGGAGCCCAGGGAGGGGCGTGCAGGGGGAGGGGGCACAAGGAGGGGGGCCCAGTTCCCCCACTCTGCGACAACCAGAAACCCACGTTGGAGAAGGCCCTGGGCCCGGAGAGGGGCCCACCCCGCGCTCCGAGCCCGCGGCGTCCCCCGGGCAGCCCGTGGCCTGCGCCTCCCCACAGCTCCCAACCTCCCTAGGCTTTGATGCGCATGAGTGGCTGTCGACTGGGGGGGGGGGGGACACTCACGACAGGGGGCACTGGACTCAGAGGTTCCTGCGTTGGGGGGGGCAGGCCCGGGAGACAGGGAAAGGCTGGAATGTGCTTCCTTCCGGCAAGGACTCAGGAGGCCCTGAGCCAACATGGCCCTGGGCCCAGTTGGGGTGAAGGGCCCAGAGGGAGTCACACCAGCCCCTCCCTGCGGGCGCAGCCAGCAGAGCAGCCCCGGGCCTGACAGAGCGGCCTGGGAGGCCCTCAGGCGGCGGACACCGGCCACAGGCCCGCGCTCTCTCCGCGGGGGACGTGTCAAATGAAGTCCTGGGAAGCAGAGGCCTCGGCAGGCGGAGGTGGCAGGCGGGGCCCGCCGTCAAGGATGGCGCAGTCGCCCCTGCGCACGCCCTAGGGGTCACAGCAGCTGGACACCCCAGCCCCCGGGGGCCCCTCACCTCCACCCCCTCCTCGAGGCAGACGCTGGGCCCTGTGCGCCTGCCTAGGGAGCCGCGCTGCCCTCACAGCCTAGTTTTTTGGATTTTTTTTTAAAAAGATAGATTCATTTATACAAGAGCTGGGGTACAGGCCAGAGATGTGGGGGGTGAGAGGACTCTCCAGAGACAGAGCGGGGAGAGCAGCAGACGGAGGGAAGACACTGCTGCGGGGAGCAGCGGGGAGACAGGAGAGGCCCGCCGCGCCGTGTGCGCATCTCCCCGGCCGCCGGGCACCAAACCCGCGCTGCAGAGGCCGCGGGCAGCTTCACAGCGCCGCGCTCAGCCCGCCGGCCGCCGGGGAGGCCCCGCTAGTTGTTCCCCAATTGCAAACCCGCCGCCCCCGGCGCCGGCTCACCGTGTTCTCCTGTTTCGCAGAGACCTTGCGCTTCGGGGCCTGGATGGCGCAGGTGGGTGGCGACTTCTTCTTTTCCGAGTTTTCACTTCGCTGCTTCCTCTTAGCAAGCCAGGCTCTGCCAAACGTGGGGGGACGCGGGGCTTTCCAGCCCAACCCAGCGGCCTTTCCTGACCGGGGCAGCCGCACCAGGCGCCCCAGGCCCGGGAGCACAGACAGTTGGAGGGTCTCCCGGCCGGCGCCCGCCGCGTGTCCTCGAGGGACGCCCCCGCCGCTGCCGCCACGGGCCGAGGGCCTCGCCGCTGGAAAGTGGCCCGGCCACAAGCAGCCTAGGGCGCGGGGGGCTGCTAGGCGGTGGGAACGCGAGCACCTGCGGCCAGCGGGCTGTTGGGAGTGGGGGGGTCGCGGAAGGGTCCCGCCACCCCGGGTGTCCCCCTGGGGCGGCACAGCTTCCCACCACCTGCTCTGTTTCAGCACCAGAAGAGCTACAGCGCCCGGGAGCTGCCCCAGCGGCTGCGCGCCTTCCTGGGCCACTGGCGGGAAGTCAAGGCCCACAACGCGGGGAACCACACCTACCAGAGTGCGCCGCAGGCTGGGGGCCGGCAGGGGCAGCTGGCGGAGGCCGGCTCTGTGGGCTGGGGCCTGACCCCGACCCCATGCCGATGCCAGAGGCCCTGGGGGGGAGCTGCGGGGGCGGGGGGGGGGGCAGGCCCTGCGGGGGTGCACGCGAGCGCGCTCCCTGACCTCGGGCACGTCTCCTGTTCAGAGGGGCTGAACCAGTTCTCAGACATGAGCTTCGCCGAGTTTAAACGCAAGTACCTCTGGTCAGAGCCCCAGGTAGGCCCGCGCCCCGAGCCAGTCCACACCCGCTCCCCGCCCGCCCGCAGGCCCCCGCAGGCCCCCGCAGGCAGGCGGCTGGCTGGCACTGCAGACCCCTGGGGTTCCCGACACGCTCCCGTCTCCCGCAGAACTGCTCGGCCACCAAAGGCAGCTACCTTGGGGGCGCTGGCCCCTTACCCTCCTCCGTGGACTGGAGGAAGAAGGGGAACGTCGTCTCCCCGTGAAGAACCAGGTACCGCGGCCGCCCTCCCCGACCCTGGGGGCCCCGGCGCTCTCCCCAGCGGCGTCCTGTCCCGGGTCTCCGCCAGGGAAGGCCCGACCCGCCCCGCGCCTGCGTCTCCCTGTCCCCAGCCTGGCCCCCCTCCGGGCGCCCTCTGTGCCCTTAGGACCTGGACGCCCGCGCCCACGCCCGCCGGCCCCCGGGACAGAAGGGGCGAGCGTCCCCTGCAGAGCCGAGGCCAGGCACGGCAGCCTGGCGCCCACCCCCCCCCCCCCCCCCCCCGTGAGGGACGGGGAGTGGCTTCCTCAAGGGGACGCCGCCTCTCGGTCCCCCCACTGGGGCTCCCGCCCTGCCTCGGCCACCAGGTGCTGCGCTTTGTCGCCAGCAGGAGCCCCGGCCCGGCCCCTCCCGCAGCCCGTGGGTGGGAGGCGGCAGCCCCGACCAGCGGCCTCCGATGCCGAGGCCACCGCCCGCCGCCCAGGCCCCTCCAACCGCCACACGCTGAGGGGTGGGCCGGGGCGGCCCCTTGCAGCGGGACGAGGGCCGTGAGCGCCTCGGCGGTGGCCGGGTGGGGCGGGCGGGTAGGCGGCGGCAGGCAGGGCCGCCCCCTGTGGACTGGCGGGTCTGGGGTGAGGGTCAGGAGCGGATGCCCGTGGGGGCCTCGCGGCCTGTGGGGCGGCGGGGGAGGGCCTGGGGGCCGGCGCTCACGCCTCGCACCTCACGCCCCAGGGCGCCTGCGGCAGCTGCTGGACCTTCTCCACCACGGGGGCCCTGGAGTCCGCCATCGCCATCGCCGGCGGGAAGCTGCTGTCTCTGGTGAGCGCGGCCGCAGCGGGGGCCAGGCTCAAGCCCAGCCCTGGCTGGACGCCGCCCTTGGGGACGGGGGAGGTGGACCCTGGCGCGGATGGGCTGGGGCCGGAGCCAGGCCTGTCTGCCCCGCCCCAACCCCTGGAACCCCCTTCTCAGGCCCCTCCAGGGTTCACCAGACAGGCAGGGTGCTGCTGAGCCTGCAGCCCTGGGCTGACCCTGAGGTCCAAGGAGACACTCCCGCCTGCAGAAGCTCGTGGCCTCTCCCTGAGCAGGCGTGCAGGGGTGTAGGGGCGTGGGCTGTGGGGTTCAGGGGCGCAGGCGTGCATGGTGCAGGGCACAGGACCGTGCTCATGGCCTGTGCTTGTCCCTCCAGGCGGAGCAGCAGCTGGTGGACTGTGCTCAGGCCTTCAACAACCACGGCTGCCAGGGGTAGGCCTGTCGGTCCTGAGCCCCACCCCCTAGCACAGGTCCCCCCGCCCCCCCGCCCCATCCCCACCCGGGCGCCACCATGTGGGCCAGAGACCCAATGAATCAAGAGCAGGAAGCCCTCGGCCCCCAGCCCAGCCCGCCCGCCGCGTGGGCCCAGCTTCAGGGGAGCCGGGGTAAAGTGTGGGGGGGAGCACAGGGTCTGGCCCGGGGTGAAGGTCCCGGGGGTGGGGGCTCAGGGCCTGGCCCGGGGGGAAGGTGGGCGCAGCGAGGTCCGCGCAGGCGGGCTTGCTCCCTGTGGGTGGCACCTGCTCCCAGGGGTGCCCCTCTCTTGCAGGGGTCTGCCCAGCCAGGCCTTCGAGTACATCCGCTACAACAAGGGCATCATGGGCGAAGACGCCTACCCCTACAAGGGCCGGGTGAGTGCCCCCCTCCGGCCCCACCCGGCCCCGCTCCCCAGCGCGCCAGGCTCAACCGCCGGCCCTCCACGCCCCCATGCCCTGGCCCCCATGCCCTCTCCGGGCTCGCGTGAGGGGAGCCTGGGGAGGCCCCTCTAAGCCTCTGGGGTGCGAACCGGCCCCGCGCTCCTGCTGAAAGGTCTGGGAACTGGGCGCTGAGCCCGAGGACCCGGCACCTCACACCCCTCCACCCCCGCCCCCACGCGCCCCCAGGACGGCCCCTGCAAGTTCCAGCCAGACAAGGCCGTCGCCTTCGTCAAGGACGTGGCCAACATCACGATGGTGCGTGCGCTGCCCACCCCGGGAGCTGACCGGGGGCGGGGGCGGGGCAGGGGCCGGGGCTGCCCACGACCACCCGCGGCTCCAAGGTCCCCGTCAGAGAGGCTGCGCCGAGGGGACCCTCCTCCCTTCACAGCACCCTGGATTCGGTGCTCACAGCTTTACCCCCATCTCAGCTCCCAGGGAGCTCCAACCTGGGGCCCCCCAAACCTCCTCGGCCTGGACCCCGGCCCCCGGGGCTCTTAGGGGGTCCTGCTCTCACCAGATTCCCTCCTCAAAGGGGTGAGCCCCGGGGCTGCCTCCCCTCACCCTGCTCCGCTGGCCCCCCGGGGCGGAGGCCAGGGCGCGGGGCGCAGCCGGCTCAGCCGCGGTCTGTGCGCAGGGCGACGAGCAGGCCATGGTGGAGGCCGTGGCCCTGCACAGCCCCGTGAGCTTCGCCTTCGAGGTGACCGACGACTTCCTGATGTACAGAAGGGGCGTGTACTCCAGGTGGGCCCCGGGGGTGGGGGGCGGGCAACCCAAGGCCAGGGCGGTGGGCAGCGCCAGGGCCGCTCCTAGCCCAGAGACGCGCCGCAGGGCCGAGCAGCAGCACCGGCACCCCAGGGGGCGGGCAGACGGGCAGACAGACGGGGGCCGGGGCCCTGAGGCCTCCTGCCGCCCTGGCCACACCCGCCGCCCTCACCTGCCGGTCCTCCTGGTTTCTTGGGATTCCCTCTCGGGAACTGCGTCGCCATGGTGACCCATGGCCCTGCGGTTGCCCAAACCCCGGGGGCTGCTGTGACGGCAGGGGCGCAGCCAGGCCGGGGGGGCCTACTCGGACAGCAGGGGCTGAGCCGCGGCACCCTCCGCGGGGCCCTGGGGTTCCCCCTCAACCGCGTTCACCCTTCCTTTCTCCCCCCAGTACTTCCTGCCATAAGACACCGGACAAAGTCAACCATGCAGTGCTGGCTGTGGGGTACGGCGAGGAAAACGGGGTGCCCTATTGGATCGTGAAGAACTCGTGGGGCCCCTACTGGGGAATGAACGGGTAGGCAGCGGCTGGGGCGTGTGTGCCCCGCGGGGTCTGGGGCTGCCCAGAGTGTGGGTGGCCAGCCCAGGCAGGGGGCAAGAGCCCCCAGACCCTCCCTCCCTCCTGGGGCCTGTCCTGAGGTGCTGAGCGCAACGGAGACCCAACCAGGAGGCTGTGCCCCGCCCTGCGGCCTCCTGGGAGAGGCTGGACCCCAATCGCAGTCCCCCCCCCACCCCGTGTCCTGGGGTCGGGCCACACGCAGAGCCTGGTCCGGGGACTCCCCGGGCGAGGCACGGCCCCTGGGCCTCAGCAGCGCCTCCCCCCAGGTACTTCCTCATCGAGCGGGGGAAGAACATGTGCGGGCTGGCGGCCTGCGCCTCCTTCCCGGTCCCCCTGGTCTGAGCCCGCCTGGCGGAGGCGGCCCCACGCCCCACACACTGGAGCCCCAGGACAGGATGACGACCCACACGGGCGATGCCCGCGCCGGCCACGGCTGCAGCTGCGCCCCGGACTGCTGGCCACGGGGCAGGGGTGGGAGCCCCCCGCTGTCCTTCCGTCTCAGCAATAAAGCTGTGCTGTGCCAGCACCCAGGAGGGCTTTCCGGGGCGGTCTCGGCCGGGGGCTGGTGGGGTGCGCGGTCGCTGTGGGCTTGTGGGGCCGGCGGGACAACAGGTGGGTGACCGCCCCGGGCCCCCGACTGTCCCGGAGCGTGCCGGGCCGCAGCCGCCCTCTGGGCCCGTGGCTTGTCCCTCCTCACCTGCGCTCTGGACGGGGGTGCCGGGAGAGGCGCAGGCGACCCTGAAGCCGCACCCTCACGCAGGCTGCCCTGCCGGGTGCATCTGGCAGGGGTCTAGGGCCCGGGGGAGCTCACCACACCTTCCCCGCGGGCCGTGCCAGTCCCAGAACCACCCGCCCTGACCGCGGGGCCTGGCGTGCGCCGGCGTCGGAGCCCGCGGGATGGAAGAGACCCCGGTCTTGTCCACCGGCTCCACGGGCGGGGGCGCCGGGCGGGGGCAGGCAGGGTACGGCCGCCTTTCCTGGCTCCGGGCACAGGGGATGAGCCGCCAGGGTGGAGGCGGAGCCTCAGGAGCACCCGGACACGGGACGAGAAGGGGGTGCCCCGGCGATGACAGGGCTCGGCCAGGCAGGCGCAGCCCCGGCCCCGGCTGGCCTAACTCTGGCCTCTGCTCACTCACCACCTACCCCTGCCCGTCCCCGGCACCCTCGGAGCCAGCGCGGACGAGCGATGCCCACCGGCTCCCAGAGGACCCCGGAGACCCCACAGAGCACCGGCCTCCCCTGCGTGGGGTCAGCGCCTGGCCTAACCCTAGGCCTCTGCAGCCCTCGGGTCCCGCGGGAGGCGCAGCCCAGCCCGGTCCCCGCGGCTCCCCCTGCCGCCCGTCTCCGCAGGCCGGGCCGGGGGCCGCGCCCCGGGAGAAGCCGCCGCCGGCTAAGTGTTCCCTGGTGTCCCGGAGCCCGTCCAGCGCAGCGGGGGGGCCGAGGGCTGAGGCCGGCGCGAGCCCACGGTCAGGAGTGCCCAGACACGCCAGCTTGGCCGCGACCTGCCCGCTTGCCAAGGGCGCGCCCCCTCCCCGCCCACGAGGGCCCGCGGTCCGCTCAGCTCAGAAGCGAGTTTCTCCTTCGCGAGAAGCACCCCGCGCGCGCAGAGCGAGACGCCTCCCCCGGGGCGGCTGGAGACCGGCGAGGCCGACGTCTTTCCCGAGTCTCCTTCCCGAGCGCGGTTTCCTCAGCCAGGGCCTTCCCGACGTTGCTCCTTCCTCCGCGGCGCGAAGGCCTCCTGCCCCCCCACCCGCGCCCCGCGCACGGACCACGCCCCCAGAACCAGCAACGCTGCGGTCCCCGGCCGCCCCGGCACGAAGAGCCACCGGTCCCGAGAGCCGCGACTGGGGTCGGCGCCGGCAGCGGAGGAGCAGCCAGCGGGCCAGAGACCCCGTGCCGGCCCTGCTCCCGGGACAGACGTCTGCGCTGGCACCCGGCACCCCTGAGCCGTCTTGGGGCCCAAGCTCCATCGTAGGAAGTGACTTTGGTTCCCTAAGTTACCACGTGTCCTCGCTGGAGCAGGCCCCGGCCCACGGACACCTGGCTGCTGAGGCCTGCGGCTTCGTGGGAGGTGGGCCACGCCCTGTCCTCTGTCCACCGCCACCGGGTGGGCCACGTTGCACGGCGCCCTCAGCGTCAGGGCAGCTCGAGGCGCGGCCCCAGGCCCCGGCACGGCAGGTCTGGGACGGTGGGCCAGGGCGCGGCCCTCCGCGGGACGGTCTGCCTCCGTCTGGGGGCCCCCCAGCCACCCTCCCCGCCCGAGACCCCGCACAGCCCGAGAGCAGGGCTCCAGGCAGGCTGCCGGCCCCCAGGGGTTCAGGAGCAGCAGAGACTGCGGCCCGGGCGTGGGCGCGCTCAGCCAGCACCGCTCTGCGCTCCCCGGGGCCGAGGAGGTGGGCCCCACGGAACTAACAAGAAAACTGCACCCAACTGAAGAACTGGGGTCCAAACTTGAGGCGCACCCCGTGAGACACCCACACGGCACACTCTTCTTTGAAACTTAAAGAAAAATTTATTGAAGATCTGAAAAACAACTCCTAAAAGACTGACTTTTCCAGAAAACTGCAGCGGCACCGCGCGCTGCGTCTACCGTGTGAAACGTGCACCAGACACAAACACGACACCAGGGGACAGGCCACCACCTTCACAGTCTGAGCGGGGAGACGCCGGCGGCGCGGGCTGCGGGCGGCGCTGCAGGCCTCGAGCGGGCAGCCCGACAGCGCGGTCAGCTGCGCGCGGACGTGACCTTTGGCACTAGCAACCGGGGCGTTTGTCGTGAGCGAGGACACAGCATGAAAGTGCGCAGTGTCACGGGGACGGGGCCACCAGCACTCAGAAGCAGCTCGGCCGCGCGGCGGTGGGCAGGACAGCGCCGCTCCGCGCCCTCCACGGGCACACGGGAGTGGGGTGGGGGGCAGCTTTGAAATGGAGAGAGAGGAAAGGAGCGGAAACCCCTTTTATTTTCTCTGTTTAAAATCAAACAGGAAACGAACACCAACTCTGTCACACGCTAACATGGTCAAGGTACGTCGTCTGTACAAGAGGAGGGCCGGGGACGAGCGTGCTGCGCAGGCGAGGGCGTCACACCGCCTTCCGGTGGTACTCGGGCGGGGCCACCTCGTAGTCGCTGGCGCTGAACAGAGCCGCCGAGTTCCTCGCCAGATACCTGAGGACACGGTGCCGTTAGCGGGGACGGGGCCTCCGGCCTGCACCCCCGCTGCCGCACGCCCCCTGTGGCGAAGGGCCGGGCCGCCAAGCCGTGCTCCGTAAGCGGCGGCAGCGCCCGTGTCGCTCGCACAGGGAAGCCGGGCACCTCGACACGCGCCCCCCCCGCTGCCCACCGAGGGCCGCCCGGGCCGCTGCAGCTTGCATTTGCCAACGGACAGTCCGCTCAGAGTGACCCAGCACCGCGGGCCACGCGGCTGCCTGAGGCGCACGGCCGCCCTCCTTCCTTCCGCTGCCCCCGCGGCCAGGCAGCCTGCGGGCCACGCGCGGGAGGGTCCCTGGAGCTGCCGGGCAGGGCTCCCCACGCGCCGGGCCCTGCCGCCTCACAACAGCCCCCCCCACCAGCCGAGGCATCTTTATCGGACTTTCACACCTTTGACAACAGCCACAGGACACGCAACCATTTCCTGTATTTCTGAGATTACTTTTTAGCCCTTTCGCGCCTCAAAGGTCATACCGATAGGCCCCCGCTCTTTTCTCCTGTGCTATCACATCTTTACATTTTTGATGCACCTAGAACATGGCGTGTGGCAACGATGGGCAGGCCTATCCCAGCGTTGACCCCTGCATGTCTCGCGGCGAGTGCAGGCCGAGACTTACTTGAGGAAATCGTGAAGATAGTTGAGCAACAGCGCCAGGCTCTTCTCATCCAGGGGCGTGTAGGCCAGCATCGCGCCGATGCGCACTGTGCAAACAGGAGAGTGTCGTCAGCGCGACGACGGGGCAGCACCGTGTGACGTGAGCAAGTGCGGCCAGCACCAGGGTCCTTTAGAGATACATGGCTCGGGCCTCCCTGGTGGCCTTGGGGTCACTCTCAGCACTACCACCTTGCAGGCCTGAGTCCATCCCCAGCCAGGACGCAGCAGACCTCTCCTGTCTCCCCGCTGCTCCCCTCAGCCGTGTACATCAGTCAGTCTACCTGTTCTGCTCCCCGCTCTGTCTCGGGTGAATCTTCTCTCCCCCTACACCTCTGGCCTGTACCCCGGATCTTGCGCACATAAATAACTCAATCTTAAAACAAAAAATACACGGCTCTGGGAACCCCTGGCTTTGAAGAATAAAGACTTTAGACTTTAAACATTTTAGGTTCAAGTCAATGTTCGAATGGAACCGGGTCTTAGGGCTCCACTTCAGGTGACCCCTCAACGTCTGTCAGGAAAGAGAGAAAACCAGAGGCCCAAGCATGGATGGCAGAGCTAGCAGCCCGGGGCGGGGGGTTACCGAAGAGCCGCAGCAGGTGTGGCGCCCCGTACACCTGGGACATGGGCGCGTCAGGGTGGTCGGCCAGGATCTCGGCGTACTGCGGCCTCTCGAACTTGTAGAGCAGCTGCGTGCCCAGCATGACGTTGAAGTATTCCTTGATCCCCGCCACCACCTCGTTCACCGCGTATTCCCTGGGGAGCGACAGAGCGCAGCGGTCTCAGGCATCGCCGCCAGGCAGGTGAGCACGCACAGGGAAGGGCGGGCCGCGAGTTGCACTTGTGACGAACATCACGAAGACTTCAACAGGCCCAAGAACCTAATCCCACAGCTAACAGGTGGGGAGAGGAACAGGCTACAGCCTGGGGGGAGGGTGGGTTCGCATCCCCACCGCCCTACTCTGAGAGGCGACAATTCTACACCAAAAATATTTACTGGCCTTCACCAAAGCTGGAGGCCACCCAACACCGGTCAGCCCGATGAAATTCTACCAGGTTTCTGACGGCGTTTCAGAGCAAGCAGAAGCGCTGGATCACTTATTTGGGAATTTCAGGGAAAAAACACCTCCGGGCAAACATGCGAAGCGCAGCTCAGCCTTACTTGTTATCTGTGTTTCCCCGGGACTTCTTGTAATTCGCGTAATCCTCCAGAATGGAGTCCACGTTCTTCTTGGCGGGAAGGTAGAAGAGCTGTGAAAACAGCCACACTGCACACCGGGACGCTCCAGAGAGGTCACACCGGCGAGCTCACGGGGAAGGCAGGATCCCCGAGCAGCACTGGCGCCTTCCTGCCAGGTCCTCCCGCCCCACGGGCACCGGGGGCGCGGAAGGGCCGAGGAGCACAAGCTCAGGAAGGGGGCACAGGAGCCGAGCCCCAGCCATCCGCCCCGTCTCCGCCCGAGGTGGCCCTGCCCGCCCTCTCCTGTCCTGGAACCCAGCTCCTCACACTGGACCGTCACCTCTGAGGTCAGACAGGCTCACCCCGCACCGCCACCGCGTCCACACGCATCATCAGACCCGGAGCCCATGAAGGCCTCGCAGGGGTTGCCGTGTCCCAGCTGCCCCCGCAGGGGCCCCGGTGAGGGCTCTGGCTCCAGGGACAGTGAGGGAGGAGATGTGGCGTCTGCTGGCTTCCCCGAGGACTCCCGCCCCAGGCAGCTCCCGAGGCCACCGCCAGGGCTCGGGCCTCTCTGCTGACCACGCTGTTTGGTCTCGGAGTCAGACTAAGGCGCCCGGGTACCTGCTTTTGCCGCGTGATCAAGTCCCAGTCGTCGACGAGCCACGGCTTCAGCTCCTCGGGGATTTTCACTTTGACTTCGACCCTGTTCACAAAGGCCTCCTCCTAGGGGCAAAGGGCACCAGGTGTTCACCTTTCCCTGCCGAAGGCAACTGCCAAGGACAGGACTTTTCTCAAACTTCCCAAGCACAGGGCACCCAGCGGCTCCCAGGGGCTCTCGAGCACACGCCACTGCGACCACGTCAGATATAGCGGGAAACGATCCTGCCCCGCGCCCCATGTTTCCAGAGCCGGTCCCCTCGTCTCTGCACACATGGGCTGCGCTGACTCCCACTGAGGCCGACCAGCCACTGCCCCAAGTCACGTGGACCCTCACCACCGTTTCTAAGCTCCTAAGCCGTCCCTGCCCTGCGGCTTCAGCGTCACAGACTTAAACTACATCAGTCAGACGCGGGAACCCCTCAGACTCCTCGCTCTGGGAATCAGAGACAGCCGTTCCGACGCTCGCGCGGGATTGCAGACCACCGACACCGCATCCACACGCAGAGCCTCTCATGGGCCCCCTCACCACCCCGGTACACATCGCGCCACTTCCCACGGCCTGCAAGACGCCACTCACGCCAGACACTCAGGGAACACAGGCCTCGTGAGGCTGCAGGCCAGGCGGGGGGAGCTAGAGCAAAAGTGCGTGCGGATGGGCACCAGACCATGCCCCACGGGGTGCGCTCAGAGGAGCCACTCTGGTAAGGCCCACGGGCGCATGGCCAAGCCCCTACGTGTCATCCACAAGCATCACGAAAACTCACGTTCTCAACAGTAGGATCTACTCGGGCCCTCTTCTTCCGAGGAGGCTGGGGCGTCTCGCTGGTACTGCCACCATCTCCGTTTCCAGGAGCTGGAAGAAGTGGGGTGCGGAGCAAACACCGAGCTCTTGTAAGCCAGAGGACTCACGGCCCTCTCTCCTCAATTCCCCACCACACGGGTCTTTCTGACTCCCCGTCACAGAACCACACCTGCCGAGTGGCTGTCCCCAACGTCCAGCACAAGGCACGTGTAACTGACCTTCTAACCCTCGCTTACCACCACCCCCTCAGGGTCAGAGAACCCCAGTAAGCGTCTCAGCTCCGTGCGTAACCCCACCTGCTGTGACTCGCGTCTGAGACTGTCAGCAAGACAGGCCCACGCCGAAATGGTGACACTTTAATTTTAACACTAAGTTTAAAACCTAAGCGTGACAAAGACAAAACTGCAACAAAGTCAACACGTTTACCTTTTTGTTTGTTCTTTTTTGTCTTCCTGTAAGGACAAAAAAAAAACAAAATCAGCATGGTGAACCCTCACGACTCCCCGCGCCTCGCCTGCCGGCAAAGCCCACAACATCGTCCCACCCGCCCAGTGACGAGGAAGACCCGGGACTGCCCTTCCTTCAGAAGTCTAGGTGTGAACGCCTCACTTCCCATCCCGGCCCTGCGTGGAGGCCCTCGCGCTACCCTCCCCGCTGACCCGGAGAAGCCGCGTCCCGCGACCACGGCAGCTCCGCCTAGGCAGACGCTGACAGCGCCCCGGGGCGGCGCGTGCGCGCAACGCCACTCAGCCATACTCCGCCAGGCGGCCGGCAGCCTGCCACACACGGGCTCCACGCCACGAGAACACGGGCAGGGAAGCAGGAAGGAAGTCGGAAAGAAAACCACACAAAACCGAGGCGGCTCGCTCTTACACATCCACACTTTTCTGCTGCAGACTCGATGTCTTCTTCCCCGGGGCAGCCCCTCGCATCTTGCCCTCCGCATACTGCTCCCTGCAAAGACAAAGTGGGGAAGGAGGGGGGCATCTCTAAGGCGTCAGAAGAGCCTCAAACCCACTGCTTGAGGGAGGAGGAGTAGATGTGGTCAGAGGTGACGCCAGGAACAGGCCAGAGCTCCCACTCCCCAGTCTCATGGTCCCCATGTGGTCGTTCCCGGTGGCTCCACGGGTCCCAACTTTCAGGACAGACACTGCACCTCGGGAATGGAACCCACTGCCCTGCAGAGCTCGTGGCCTCCCAGGGCCCCGCCATCCACTCAGCGACCTTCCAGGGAGCCCCCGCTGCAGGAGCCGGTGGCCGAGGTGCCCCCAGGTGCCCGCCAGCCCCCGCTGCGCTCAGATGGAGCACGAGGCGCCGCACGGCGCACACTCACTGGTTGGCCTTCTGAAGCTCCCGCTGCTTCTGCAGGTTGGTGTCCACGTACTTGAGCACTCTGCTCTCGGGAACCCACTCATCCCAGCTGCGGAGAGGAGAGCCACGTGAGCCCGGGCGCGCGCCCCCGCGCCCTCCGTCCTCCCGGCTGTCGGCTGGGTCCCCGGAGCAAGGCCAGGGTTTCTGAGTGACTTTCTGTAGCGGACCCTACAAATCCCACCTCCACTAGCAAGAGAACCTCTACCCTGCAGAGGAAGCGGCATTCCCAGCCTACGCTGCCAGGAACCCGGAAGCAAATTTCTCAAAACACAAAGCGTGAGCACCGACATACTGTAAGCGGGCCCCCGGGGCCCCAGCCCCCACCACCACCCCTTAAAGGTCTCTGACAAGTCGCGTCTTAACTTCCGAGAGATGCAGCCCAGGCGCCTACTGTGAACGCGCACATCCAGCCATCCGGTGCAGGGGGGGGGGGGGGGCGGTGGCGGCACGTCTTGTGGCCACAGGCCTCCCTGAGCCTCAGCCCCGCGCCAGTAAGGCGGGAGGGTGGGGGGTGCGCGGCGCCTACCCCAGAGCTACCGGGAGACCGGACAGCACCACGCCCACGAGGCGGCCACCACACACAGCCGCCGCCTGACGAGCACGAGAAACCCCCTTGCCCCTCACGGCAGCACGTCAAGGGCCCCGCCAGGAAGGTGGCTCCAGCTCGGAGGCGCCACTGCCACGCATCTCCTTGCCAAGGCAGCTGGCACTCTGAAGAGCTCCAAAACGAGACCCGTGGCACGGGTTTTTTCCACAGGGGCAAACAAAGTCAGGCCCTGTCCTCGGGACACCTCAGCTCTTCTCCTGCGGAGGGGAGCCCCCCTAGTGACACACGGGGCGCGCCCTCGAAGCAGAGCCTGCACAGCGACTCCCGCCTCCGACCTCTCGGGTGAGCCGGCCCCAGGGAGCCGACCGAGGAGAAAGCAAAGCTCGAGTGGGTCACGGAGAAGACGCGAAGCGTGCACCTCCGCCGCGCGCGGGAGGGGCGGCGTACTGAGGGAGCGCCTTCGGGAACAGGAAAAAGGGCTACGAGATCCTCACGTGTCCTCGAAGTGTTCTCAGGGCGCCTGGGCCTCCCAGCACTCCTGATACAGACAGCGCGGCCCAAAGGGGCTCAGCAGTGAGGCCCAGAGCCGCCGTGCGCTCAGCTGACTTCTTTACAGAGCGGAGCGCTCACGACGCCTGTCAACAGAGCCCGGTGAGGTCTTTCAACACGGAGAAGCCGCTTCCGCATCGTGCCTGCGCAAGCACGGTATCTACCCAAGCTTAAAAAATTCCAACTTGGAAACTGGGTTTTGTTGCAGTTTTTGCAGAACGGTGTCCTACGAGCCATTCACAAAACGAGGCCCCCTCTTCACCTGCACGCCCTCAAGTGTGGTTCCGGTTCTTTCGCGAGGGCCTCGCCAGTGGCCGCCTCCCTCAGCGCTCCCTCTAGACCACGCGCGCCCGCCCCCGCGGGAACGCAGCAAAGGGAGGACAGTGCCGGAGTCTCCTCTCTAAGCCAGGAGCTGAAAACCTTTGCGGCCCAAAGGAAAATGAAGCAAATCTTTTGCTCTGAGAGCTTTTCGACAGAGGTCCAGCAGAGGAGAATCGCGGCGTTTCCAGAGGAAGCTGGTGACTGGCGCGCCAAGCCCCGCTCGGCACCGGTCGCGCAGCACCACGGCAGGAGCGACGGGATGTCTGGGCGTCCACGGAGCACCCCCCGCCAATGCGAGCTCATTCAAAGACTTCTCTAAACACTGAAGATCCAAGTTCTCAAAATGGGTAAATACCAAGTCAGCCACCAAAAAACCTCTCTGATGTAACACCTTTCCCCGGTGCGTGTCACTGAAAGCTCTCAAGTCTACCGCCCTTTTTTAGTTCCCTTTCCAAGGACGCATGCGTAACATTAGTTACAAAGAGAACCACCTTCACGAGCCCGTCACAGGTTGTTTCACTGAACGATGTCCAAGAAAAACGTCATTGTGCAGCAATAAAATCAAAAACTACATTCGGTACTTTTCACAATTTCCAGAGATGTCACCTAAGTCTCCCGGCCGTTCCTACGGAAGTACGATCCTGCACGGTAAGACCATTACATACAAGAAGGAAAAAAAAGTACGAAAGATATGCTCATAGTCATTTTAAAGAATCCTAAAACAATTCTTTAAAAGTGTGCGCAGGGAGGGGTGGAGCTAGCCCACAAATTTGCTATTTTCCTTTGATTTCTTGGGTGTATTTCAGCTTCCCCGTGAATTAGCATAAATGAAATAAAGTGAGTATTTCCTGCAGAGAAACGAGAGCCCCGCTACAGAAGGCTTCTCCCCCCCCAGGTAATGCCGACGTTAGGTCTAATAAAACACACGATACGCAACACAAAATAGGTGCGTTCTATAGTAAAAAAATGAGTATGGAAAAATAAAGCCCAATGAAAAACTAAGACAGTCTTACCATCTCGTTTGCTAACCAAGCAAAGCAGCGCTACACGGCAGGAGCCCTCAGGTGAACTTCTGGACGTCAGGACAACGGGAACGTTCATTCTCACGTCCCACTTCGAATCACAGCTCCCGCCTATGAGCCGAGACTGTCCGGTCCGCTACTTTCCCACTCTCTCCATATTCAAAATAAAAGCCCACAGGGTGACTGCGAGCCCGTCACCCCCTCCCGCTACTAGACACGCGACAACTGCCGCTCACTAGAGGAACAAAATCACAGGTTGTCAGCGCGTTCACGCAGCTTGCATTTCCTCCCTGCTACAGCCGCGCCGGTATTAGAGCCGCTCAGGGACCGACACTTCTTCTTAGCTAAGAGACTGCCATGAAAAAACCCCCACCACGATGAACAGGGCTGGCCGGGCGGCGGGCGAGCGCTCCCTCCCACTGGCGCGTCAGGGCAGACGCTCTGTTCGCGGGAGAGCCGGACGCCAGAGGCTGGCGGGCTCCGTGACAGTTACTGAAAAACAACTCCTCGAAGCGCTGCTTTCTGGCAGTGCTATCTTTGAAGGCCAAAATCTCAAATAAAAGCAATTAAAAACGCCTCACAAGCCACGCGACTACCAGCGGCCCAAGGAGTGGCGTCAGGCGCGCGCCTGGGGGCCGCGAGGCCGCGACTCCGCGAGAGACACGCGCTCCCTCTAGACCTCTCCCTCCCCGCGCGGCCCGCTCGCCACCGCTTCTGAAAATCCCCCTTCTTCGTGGAGAAAAGCCAGGCTTTGTGATGAGATTTCTGCACACTGAAGTGATGCTCAGAAGCGAGGTCGCTCTCTGTCCACAGTCAGTGTTTCCACAGCTCAGGACAACTGGCCACAGCGCGCAGGCAGCGGAATGGGACACGGCGTGTGTGCTGAGGCGCCCCCTCCCGCAGAGCCCTCGAGCTGGCCTACGCAGCTCTGAAATGGAGGAAACAAGCAGCTCGCTGCCCACGGTCACTCGACACGCTAGCGACACCCGCGAGCAGCACCCCAAAGACGCCACGTGAAAGGGCCGCGTGCCCCCGCGTCCAGCAGAGGCGGCTCCCCCGCAACCGGCACGCGTGGCGGCGACGGTGGCCCCGCCCAGGGCACGGGCTGCCTGAACTGCTGGGAAAACGCCGTCTGCAGGGCGCGAATACTCACTTTTTATTCCAGCCGCTGTAATGTATGAAGTATTTCACTTGCTTGTCCTTTATGGCGACCTTCACGCACTGCAACGAGAAAGAGGAGAGCGCGCTTGGAAGCACCTGCCTGAAGGGCGGCGGAAAGGGAGAGACTAGCTGGACGCCTCCGGCGCGCCTCCAGACACTCTCCCCGCTCAGCATGCGGGCGGCACCCCCCAGCATTCGGCTGGCGGCATCGGGTCAATGGGCGCTTCCTACGGCACCGTTTGCCGCCTCAGGCCTCCCAAGCTGAAGACCCTGAGCGTTCGCCACCAGCCTAAGCCTCAGCCGCAGCCCCGCAGGCGCGAGGAGACCGTCTCCGAGAGGTTGACACCGGCTGCTGGTGCTCTTTCGAGGCCAAACTAGCCCGGGACCGGGGCTTCTGACAATCTCATCTTCGGGGAAATGTTTACACTGCGGGACGGTCACCCGCTCGTTGCAGGGGCCAGCGGCTGGCCGCGCCGGGGTCACCTGAAGAGCAGCCAGGCGCGCGGGACCATCGCCCGCTGGGGTCTGCCGCCCGCCAGCAGCACCGTCCGGGGCCGTCTGGGGCCGTCCGGGTTCAAGCCGTTCCAAGCACCGCTCAGACGTCGTCGGCCAGAGCGCCTCACTGCAGGGGCGGGACGGGTGCCCGCCTAGGGGTTCCCCAGAAATTGCTACCAGAAAACTGACACTTGGGGTACGGACTGGGCCTCTCCAGGAACCCCCAGTCATCCGCAAGCTTAAATCTCACACGCGTGACGGAACTGCCGCCTGGAGACCACCCGGCTCTGCGGCTGCTCCGGACCAGGCCGCGCTCAGGCGCGCTGCGGGGCCAAGGGAGCCCGTCTGCGCCTGCGTGCGGGGCCGCGGCAGCAACGACACACTGAAAACATCTCAACTCTGGAATTCATCGTCCTGTTTGTCTGACTAAATATAAAGCCAGCGTGTGTAACCTGAGCACAACGCTGGCGAAGTCTCCCGGGATTCAAACTTGGCCACGTCAACAAGTAAGAAGCAAAGGCGCTCGTTGTTGGCAGCTTTCACCTTCCCCGCCGCGCGGGCCCTGGGACTCCCGCAAGGGCTCTCGGTCCCCGCGGCCACAAGGCCATTTGCACCCACAAACCGCCAGTCTCCTGTCACTCCCCTCCAACGCTGCCCGCGGTGCCGGGCGGCCAACAGGGCAGCAAGAGGCACACCCAGAAGGGGTCCGAGCGCGGGGAGTCTGGGAGCCAGGCACCTCCCCCCTGCACCCACCACCCCCCCGGGGCCCGCACGGCTCCCTACCTTGGCTTCGTAGAGGAGAGGCCCGTGGAAACACAGCACCCGCTCACCTGTGGAGGAACACCAGGGTCAGCTACGCTTTCGCCCCGCGCAGCAGCAGCACCGAGACGGGGCGCACAAGGACCAAGCGTCACCGCGGGAGCCCCCGCAGGCCCGAGCAAGCACAACAGGCTGCTGGGGCGTCCAGCCCTCCGAAGCGCGAACCCCTGCTCGGGAAGCAGGCAAGGCCCACGGTCCCCACCATCCGGACAGGAAGGTCCCGGCGCTGGGCGGGCACGCAGCCTTCTCAGCGCCCACACACCGGACCGCAGGTGCAGCCCCGCCGGGTCTGGGCCGCGGCGCCTCAGCGATGTTCTCGACGCTCGCTGGAAGCCGGGCCGTGGCACTTCCACTTCCCAGGAAACCTGCCCCAAGACTCGCCAGCGAACCGAACTCAGGGCAGGAGGACCCACGGGCGCCTCTGCTCAACACACGGGGCTCCCGGCACCCCCTCCCGGCGTGTCCCGCAGCGGGCCGGGCCCCGCCCCGCCCCCCCCCGTCCCCTCCGTTTCCAGGGCCCCGGGAGAGGGGCGGGCGCCCGCCGGCCCGACCCCGACGAGGACGGGAGAGCCCGAGGGCTCAGCGCCTTTTCAAATCACTGCTGCTCTGGCGCGACCTCGCGGGTGGCCACAAGCTCGAGGCGCCCCGGGGACCAGCACCCCACGCCGCTCCATCGGGCCCCTGCACGCGCGGGGCGGCCCCCGGAGGCCGGCTCTCCTCGCGCTGAGCCGGGCAGGCGCGGGCCGCCCAGCCTCCGGGCAAGGCTCCCCCGGGATCTTTCCCCCGACCCAAAGCCCCCGAGTCTCCGCCCGGGCCGCCCCCCGCGCCCGGGGCCCCAGGAGCCCCCAGGCCGCCGCGCCCCCGGGCGTCTACGAACCTGCGGCCGGGGCGGGCCCGGGAGTCGCCGGAGCGCGGCTGGGGCGCCCGCGGGGGAGCAGGCGGGGCCGGCACGAGCCCCGGCGCCCGCGCCCGCCCAGGGCCCGCCCCCGCCGCGCCCCGCCGCGCCCCGCGCCCGCCCGACGTGGCGCCTCCGCGCGGCCGCCGGGCCCGCGCTCGGGGGAGGGGCGCGCCGGGGGGGGGCGGGGGGGCCGCGGGCGCCGCCTTCGGGGAGGGGCCGCGCCCCACGACCGGCAGCCCGCGCCCGGGGGAGGGGGCGCCCCGACTCGCCGAGGCGGGGCCGCGCACCCCGGGGAAGGCCGCGCCGCGGGGCCCGCAGGCTCGGCCGGGGGCGCGCGGCTCCGCGACACGCGGCGGGGGCGCGCGCGGCCATCTTGGGCGCCATCTTGCGGCGCCCGCGCCCGCCGCCGCCCGCCGCCCGCCGCCGCCGCGCCTCGGCTGGGCGCGCGCCGCCCCGGCCCCGGCCCGCGCCCGCCCGGCCCCGCCGCCCCCGCCGCCCGGCCCCGCCGCCCGGCCCGGCCCCCGCGCCCGTTAGCTGCCGCCGCGCAGACTCACCCTCCTGGAATTTAGGCTTCGGGTCCTGCTTCGGCGCCATTTATGAGTGATTCGCGCCTCCCCCGTCCCGCCGCCCGACTGCCGCCCCTGCGCGCCTCCCGCCCGGTCCGCGTCAGCCGCGCCGCCCGCCGCCGGCTCTACATCCCGGGCGCGACTCGCCAGCGCCGCCGACCTCACCGCCGCCACCGCGCCTGCGCGCCGGCCAACGGCCGCCCCCCGCCACTGCGCACGCGCGCCGCGCGCCCGCCCGCCGCCGCGCGCCCGGGGCATGCTGGGAAGGGGCTCCGGCGCGGCCTCGCCGGCCCGTCCAGTCCGGTCGGGCCCCGAGCCCCGCCCCGGCCCCAGGCCCCGACCCCCGGCCCCCGACCCCCGCAACCCCCCGGGGCCCCGCGGCCTTCCCCCCTCCCGGCCCGTCGCCCTCGCCCCGTCCTCTCCCCGGCCCGGCCCCGCCCCCCGGGCCCGCGGAAGGCGGCAGGGGCGGCCGCGGGGCCCGCCAGCCCGGCCTGCGCCGCCCGAGGAGCGGCCGGGGCGGCGGGGGCCGCGCAGGGCCCGTCCCCAGGCGCCCGGGAAAGCCCGTCCTTGGAGAGTCCGTCTTGAGAAGTCAGCAAGCGCAGGGGGGACCGCGCTCCCGGGCCGTCGACGTCCCCCGCCCGCTGCCGCGCGCCCCCGGCCGGCCCCCTCCGCCCGCCCCTCCGCCCGGCCCGGCCCCCTCACCGGAGGGTCGCGCGGGGTCCCCTACCGGGCTGGCCGGTGGGTCGTGGGATCCCCCACAGGCGCGGCGCTGGCCGCGCGCTCTCCGCCTGGGGCGCGTCCGTCCTGGACACAGTTCTCCGGGTCAGCAGCTCGGGGCAGACAGGCCTCTTCATTCTGACCGCACTCGAGTGACTCTCGTGCTGAAGGAGGGCCCTGGGGGCGCAGGGGCCGGCTCAGCGCCATCAAGCCATGCCCAGCCACTGAGACCCGAGTCCATCCCCGTCCACCCCCGGCCAGGGAGTGACCCCCAGGGCGCGCAGACCTCTCCTGCCGCCCGCTGCTCCCCTCGGCAGTGCACCTCGGTCCCTCTGCCTGCTCTGCTCCCCGCTCTGGCTCTGGTGAATCCTCTCACCCTCCCGGCTTCTGACTGTACCCAGTGCTTGTATAAATAAATAAATCTTTGGAAAAAAAAAAAAAGGCATCAGTATGTGAGAATGAAGAACACATACTTTTAAAAAAAAAAAAGGGAGAAAGGCAGTGCCGAGGGGCGTCTAACCAGACACCCCGACAACAATGGTCAGGCCTTCAGGGAGGACGGGGGCTTGTCACGTGCTGCAGAGGTCGCAGCAAAGCCACTTTTTCATATTCCGAGCGGTTAGACCTAGTTTAATAAGGACATGTGAGCAGTACACTCATGTTCCGAGGTACTGGGGAGGCAGGGCGTGGCTGGTACCCCCATATCGGAGATGCCCCACCTATCTCGAAATCAGATCCTGAGGTTGAGGGCGCCCCCTTTATCCAGAGCTAGGGTTGCTTTCCATTTATCTTAAGGTTGGGGTGCCCCATCCCCAAGGTGGGGTGCCGCCCTGCCCCCTGCAGCACCGAGTGTGGCTGAAGAAGCCAGCTCGGGAGGGTCATCCCACAGATATTCTAGAAAAATTGGGTGGACCCTCTGGGTCCGCACCCCTCGCTGGCCCCCAGCTGGCTCCAGCGCAAGGTGCAGTGTCCTCCAGACCCGCTGTGTGGCTGGGAGCATGTGCCAGAGGGCAGGGAGAGGGGCGCACCCGCGGGCCAGTGGAACCCGGCTTCCCAGCACAGGCATCCAGGGTGGCAATCAGACCATCCGCTCTGGGGCAGTCAGTCCGAGGGGCTTGAGCAATGCAAGCACCTGGCAGACCTGGCTCCCGTGGCTCCTCCAGGGCAAGGTGGGCCTGCACAAAAGGGGAGAGGGTGGCAGGAAGCTCGTGCCTGAACCAGGAAGACACTGTGGGGTACCCTCAGCACAGACGTATCCTGGCTGGGGATCAGCAATCGCGGGGTTAAGTGAGACCCAATGGCCAAAGGCACTCCTGGACTGGCAGAGCAGCCTCGAGACTGACCTGGGGTCCACTGGTCACATTCGGGTGTGGTTTGAGTGTTAGGTGAGGGGGAAATGATTGCAGAAGTGGAGGTGATTGCCTGAAGCCAGCAGGTCGCCAGAAAATGCGCATCCATCCCTAAGGAGCCAGTGCCAGGTGCAGGCCCAGGCGCAGTACTGGCGCTCCCTGGCTCGTGACTGTTTTCTAATTTCCTAAAATAGCCATGTACCTGCGGGGGCCATAAATGGGGACAACCAGGAAAAGAATAGGGGGCGCCTTCACAGAGACCAGCCGAGCTGAGAAGCAGACAGGAAAACCCCAGCTCTGGGCGCCTCTGCACCCGCCCAAAACCTTCCCACCTCCAGGCAAATGAGGAGGGGCCTCTGGCAGCCTGCCAAGTCCTTAAGATAACTGGGTTCCTGTGCCCAGCCTGCCCTGGGGGCAGCCCCAAGGACCCAACACTAGCGTCACTGGACGCAGGCTCTGGCCAACTGTGTCGTTTGTCAATGGGCAGGACAGAACGGCCACTTCCTGTTCTGACCGTGTGTAATGCTCCATGCAGTGGCGTTCCGCACGGTGTCCACCCCCAGGAGCTTCCATCCTCCTGAGGCCCCAGGCCCTCTCTCCGCCTCTGTTCTGCTTGTTCTGCAGACCTGGCCTCAGGCCCAGGCAGTGGCTCAGGCAGCACTGTCTGGGGGCCACCTGCAGCACTGTCTGGGGGCCACCCTGCTAAGCCAGGCCTGTGTGAGGCCACTGCCCTTCCCGCCCCCAGTCTGCTGGTGGGCGTCTGGGCGGCTCCGCCGTTGGCATTGTGTGCAGTGCCCGCACTCTCCTGCTCCCAGGTCAGGGTGCACGTCGTGCCCAGGCCCAGGTCTGACTTGGGGAGGGGCATGTGGGGGGGGCAGGGTGGGGAAGAGGGAGTGTTCGCGCAGGCCTGGACAGAGCGCCCAGCCCCTTGCGTGTGGACTCCCTGGCCCCCTGGACACAGTGCCGGCCCCTCCTGAGCACCTCCAGTAACTACAGGAGAAAGTGCTTCCAAAGAGACAGGAGAGCTGGCCCGGGAGGCCTGGGTGGAGGAAGGGCAGCGAGGCTGCAGAGCGGGGCGGCTGAGTGGGGCCCTCTGCCTGCGCACGCTCAAGCCAGCATTTCCTCCCCACTCCCTCGCCCTCCGAATTCAGCTCTCCCTGGTAGGGCAGAGGCAGACCAGCCTGAAACACGAAAACTTGCAATCTCAGTAGGGAAATTTAATTCAAAGGAAGAGCTTCAGCTCCAGTGTCGCCATGGATACGACAGAGCTGAGAACAATTGCTCCCTGGTACTCTCGCCCTGCCCCCCACCCTGGTGAGCCTGGCTCCTGGGTGATAGGGAGCCTCCCCGACTGGCAGGCCTCCCGCCACCTCTCCAGGGTGGTCCACAGCCTCAGCACGAAGCCAAAATCCAAGTCCTGAGCAAGGTGTTGCCCCACTGCCCCCTCTGCCTGGCTGCTGGGCTGCCGACCCCCAGCCACGCGGAGCTGCACTGGGAAGCTTGTCCTGCACCAGTGCCCAGTGCCGCGGGCAGCCAGTCCCGCCCCAGCCCACGCCCCTGCCAGGAGCGGCCAGCTCCACACCGTGGCGGGAGACCGTGAGCTCAGAGGCCGCCTGCCCAGTCCCTCAGCCTGTGCACTGGCGCCCCAGCAGGGCAGTGTGAGTGTAGGGGGCCGGGCAGGCGAGGGCCAAGTCCAGCCTGGTGGACAGCCGTGAAGCAAGACGCCTGCCAGGACCCTCATCACCCAAGGCCACGGGATGACCGGCACGGGTCGGGCTTGGCCGCAGGGAGGCCCCGCGCAGGTGCGGGGTGGGCGGGGGCAGATGAGGGGAGCAGATGAGGACCCGCCACACTGCGAGCACAGCCGTCCCCAAAGGCCATGCGGGCAACACCCGGGTGCCCCAGGAAGGGCGCTCACGCCCACGGGAGCTGTGGCCGCACAGTGCTTAGACCGGGGCCTAGGGCTGCACTGGTGGACGCGGCGGCAAAGCCGTTGCACATGGCGACAGGGTGGCCGCGGCAGGACACATCTCTAGATGCCTCAAGGCGACGGCGCTGCCCGGGCACAAGCGGCCGCTCCGCACCGCGGCCCGTGGTTCAGCCACACAGGGATCCCGGGACGCGTGGGGCTGGGCGCGCTGCGGCGGGCACCGTGTGGACGTCCAGGCCGCCCTTGAGTGGAGGTGGAGGACGGGGCAGGCCGCCAGGGCCGGGCGGAGGAGGAAGGAACGTTGTAGGGCCCGGGACACCACACAGCACATTGCTCCGTCAAAAAGGGGGGATTTTATGGCACGTGAGTCACCTACAAAAAGAAAAAGAACAACGCGGGCTTAGGGGCGTAGACCTGCTATGGCTGTCCAGGCTGCCCTTGGCCCCGGGCCTGTCATGTCTGTGGCAGCACCCGCGGCTTCCCCTGGAGGACAGTCCACGGCCCTGCGCCGGCAGCGGGGCCTGGGGCTCTGGCCAGAGTCTTCACTCTCCGGCTGACGAGGAGCCGCCCCCCAACCCCCAGGCTGGCGCGCGCGTGAGCCGCCCTCAGCGTGGTGACCTGTGCGCCAGCCCTGGTCACGGCAGCTCCCGGGCTCCATAGCCACCCCTCAGCAGGGCGGGGCGTGGGGTGGGGGCGACGCCCTGGATGCAGGCCAGAGCCTGGGGTGCCAACGTGGCCAAGGTCAGAGGCCTTGGCATGCCGGCTGTCGTAGGAAGGGCCATGCAGGGCGTGACCTCCTGCGCCCCCTCCATCCCCCCCCAGCCCTGCGCACCCCCAGCCCCTGGGAGAAGCTGTCAGGGCCATATAGCAGGTGCTGAGCAGCCCCCGTGTCTGCGTGTGGCTGAGAGCCTGTACCCCGGCTGCTGTGCTGCACTGCACGGCCTCAGGAGGCCGAGTGCCAGACCCGCCCTCTGACCTGGGGGTGGCCCTGCTGCTTTCTAGCCTCAATTAAAGAGAAACGTCAATGTGAGCAAGGAACTCTTCTTAGTGCCAAGACTGTGCCAGCCGGGCAAGACCCACCCCAAGGTCAGCTGTACCCCGCAGGCTGCTGGGCCGCCCCAGGCACAGGCAGCAGTGCTCACTGACCCCCAGGACCTTGCCCTGGGGAGCAGGCCTCCTGCCTCCTGCTGCCTCGGGCCTGGTGCCCCGCGGTGAGGTCCGGGACTACTGCCACCACAGGACAGCGGCTGCCCACCCTCTCCCCCAGAAACAGCCCTCCAGGGTCAGCCCTGGCCAGGAGCCCCACTGGCCCCGCCTTGGGGACAGTGCCTGGGCTGGAGGGTCAGGACGGCTTGGGGTCTGCACCCGCCTCAGGTCCTGTTTGTAAGATGAACCCGCTGTTTTTTCCTGGGGTCTCTCGCAGCCGTGCGTGGGGGAGGCCCACAGATGTGGCCTGTCCATCGGGCACCGTCCGTTACTGGTCTCCAGCCGTAGGCCCCTGCAGTGCGGGCGCTGTGCTGCCACAGCCCTCGGTTTGGGTTTTTGGTCTTTTGACCTTTGAGGGCTTTTAGGTGGCTC